TGACTCCAGCATCTCCTTAAGTAAGATACATTCAATAAATTGATAACATCGATCAGTAATGGAAATCACCTAATGCAGTATCAGAACTGCAAAAGAAATGTCACATTTTTGAATATGGTGTGCCAAGACTTGGCACACCATATTTAAAAATGTGACATTTTTTTTAAAGTTTTGATACTCTCTTGAAAAGTTCTAGAGCTCTTTGCAACAATTTTAAATAGTTCCGGTCATTAAATACAAAAAAATAGACTTTTAAAAAAAGGTGCGCTAAGTTCTCGAAGCGCACTTAATCAGTAAAATCAACTATTTCTTTAGAACTATTGTTATACATATATATATATATATATATATATATATATATATATAATGCATACAAATGCACAAATAAATGCATTATTCGATTCTTTTTCTCACGAGACATACATGACATGTATGATAATTGCAATGCAAATGCGCAATGATTTTTCTGGAGATAAATCAATCTTACTTTTTTTTAACAGGATTTTTCACTTCAGTTATTTTACGCTAACTTTTTTAATTTATTTATCTTACAAGCTAATATTAGTTTGATTTATCACATCCGATTAAAAGGCTCGTGTATCAATAATAAATTATACGAATAACAAATTATGTAATCGTAATAGGTGATAGGTCACACGTACGATTTGAATTAATCAGAGTTGAGATATTTTGACTCTTGTCGTTCTTTACGCAAGCTTTTGTTATCGCATCGTGCGACTGGTGCGAAGTGAAGTCATTACCAATTATCAACGATTGCTAAAAATGCATAAGAAATTTATTGTGCAATACAAAAGTCGAGTAAATAAAGAATATTATTTTGAGGAAATTCACAGACTTCAGTTTCTTCGTACTCATTGAAAAAACTCGTCGACCCTACACGGAAAAAAAATTTCAATTGGTGCGATCAAATAGGAACCAACTGAAAATGAGATGATCAGAAGCGATATCTCTGTTAGGAAAACTAATATTTCTGTTGTCGCAACCGAAAATATTCGTCTGAACATTCAACGATATCAGAACTAAGTTGAGGTAACTGAGAACAATTGACTATACAGAAGCCTTATACAGGAATTGTTCTGTTCCTACAACCGAATTTTCGTCTGGTCCCTGAGCAATCGAAAATTTGGTTGCGCCAACAGAATTGTTTTTTCCGTGTAGTCAGGTAAAAGATCGTCTGGATAAAAGAGAGAACGCACGAAAATAATGAAATTAAATGTATTACAAGAAAATTTACACCTTGTCACGTAACTCATTTTGATCCCATTTATTTCGGGCGCATCTCATTTGCCCCACTAATTCGCGAGTGTCAAACAGTCAACGTGCTTACATATGTATTTGTGTGAACGAAATATTCTGAAGAGTAAATTGTTTTTTAAGGCTGAACAAAATAAGTTATAAAAAATAATCGTCAAAGAGCCAAAAGTCCATGATTTCCATCGTGTCAAAGTGCACACGATTACCAGCGATGATAATTCTTACACAAGTTAATTTTGGCAAAGAGTGACAGAGAAGGAGGCGGAAAGAAAGAAAAAGATATTCGTCATTATCGTTACACCGGTTACTTCATCGGTCTCTTGATTATGCGCTCGGTGACTTTTGTTTGTATCTCCTTCATCGATGTCTGGTAAGTATATAAGCCGATTCCGCCACGGTGCCCGTCGATCCTTCGCGCATTAAACACACGAGGATGAAAACGGTTGCGTTGTTCTTGGCGGCGGCGGCGTGCCTGGCTCAGGCCACACAGGTGCCGCATCATACTGCCACCAAGCAGTACCTGACCAAGCAGAAGAACATCTACGAGCTCTTCTGGCACATCGATCAGCCGACCGTCTACCATCCAGAGCTCTATCAGAAGGCGCGGTCCTTCAGCATTGAAGATAACATCTCTTCTTACAAGGACCAGGTAATACACTTCCAAAATTCCGTGTGATAGCTTAAGTAAACCATGCGTTAAATCTATATATTCTGCTCCTTGAGATAAATAAAATGAGAGTAAAATCTTTGAATGCGTGTCTCGCGTTCTTTTGAGGAAACATGCTCTCGAGGTATCGGAACGAACGTTACGGGTAATAACCCATATGAAAATGAAAATCATTGTAATCTTCGGGGAATCGTCGTGGACGAAGATATCATATTTACTAGAACTCGCAATGTTTTTTTTTAACATACTTCTGAATTTGATTTCGATTCGAAGGTTCGATGAAAAAGCTTAACGACACTCGTTGTTTCAGACTATTGTAACCGAATTCCTGCAGCGATGGAAGCACGGAATGCTCCCACGAGGAGAAATATTCTCCTCGCTATACCCTCTTCACATGCAGGAGATGGTCAGTCTGTTCCGCGTCTTTTACACCGCTAAGGACTTCGACACCTTCTACAACACAGCCGTGTGGGCGCGATTCCACGTGAACGAGAACATGTATGTTTACGCGTTGGTTAACGCCGTGATGCACCGCCAAGACACTCACGATCTCCGTGTACCGCCCATGTATGAGATCGTCCCGCACTTGTACTTCAACGAGGATGTTTTACACAAGGCCTATCACATCGCGATGGGTGACACGGGTTAGTATTGATAGGAATCGCGAGCATCGACGATGATTCGACTGGATCTCTCGAAAATCGCGAACGAAAATTTGCCAACATCGGCGCAGAATTGTCGATCTTCGTTTCTGATTCAACCGATCCCTGTACAAGATCGACATTACATATCGATTTTACAAAATCCCGTGGAAATTTTAACGTTTCCATATCGAGTTGAAATATCGAGAGCTAAAAAATCGAAAAATGTTTCAATAGGTATTGTAGGTGTAAAGAAGACGACCAGCGGTGTCGATAGCTACTACATTCCCACCAACTACTCTGGCTGGTACGTAGTCAGGGATAACGTGCCGGAACAACAGAAACTGAGCTACTTCACTGAAGACATCGGCCTAAATAGTTATTACTTTATGTCGTATCACGACTTCCCGTGGTGGATGAAGAGCGTCGAGTACAACATGCCCCAGAACATCCGCGGCGAACAGTACATGTTCAACCACAAGCAGATGCTCGCTCGTTATTACGCGGAGAGACTATCCAACAACATGGGCGAGATCGATTGCGTCGACGTAACCAAACCTATTCGAACCGGTTACTACCCGACAATGCACCATCACAACGGAGTGCCGTTCACTCAACGCCCTGTTGGTTCCGAGATCCCTCTTCATGATCACTATTACGTTCAGGTATCTTCATTTCCCTCCGCTTCGTTATTAAGCACTACAGTCAAGATCCAAAATATGTTTCGGCGACATACCTTTCAAGTACCTTTGATATTGCAGATCTCTCGGATGTCTCATCCCTTACACACTTTCCTGTCTGATCTCAGTTAAAGTTATTCACGATTTCTTCGATGTTCTCGTTAATTTATAATTTTAGAATTTCTGATTCTATAATTTTAGCAGCGATTTTATTCAAAGAGATCCTTTCAACATTAAAGTATTGCTAAAATCGAATAATGTTCCAACAGGCTCTGGAAGACTATCACATACGCATCTCTGCGGCTATCGACAAAGGCTACCTCATTGACAAGCATGATAAACATATCCACATCTACGACTCCGAGGAAGGCTTTAACCATCTTTGCAACGCAATCCACGGCAATGACGATTCAGTCAACACTGAATACTACGGCAGCATTGAATACATGTACAGAAAGATCTTCGGCTTCGTACCAAAACCGGCCGATAAGTACCACGTCGTGCCCAGCTCTCTGCATTTCAGCAGCACTAGCATGAGGGATCCCGTGTTCTACGGAATATTCAAGAACATTGTTAACTATTGGATGAGGTACGTGGTGGATGAGTTGAGGAAGTTAACTTTTAAAAGCAGCTCAATTGAACAATCTATTGAAAAAAGTAACTTGTTGCCTCTGTCATTGCTCATTTTGAAAATATGACTCGTTACCGTTGTCGTTCTCAACTCAAGAAATAAATGTTACGAGTTGTTACGAGTTCCATTGCTTTCTTCTCACCAAGTTGTGAAGATTTGTCATGAAAATCGCGTCCTATATCGTATCGTGACGGTAATGAAGATGATTGTCCCGCAGATACAAGCAACACTTACCGAGCTACACGCACAAAGAACTCATTTTCCCGGGTGTGAAGATCGAGTCCGTCAATGTTGACAAACTGATGACCTTCTTTGATCACCACGACTCGCTGATCAACAACGCCGTGTCGGTGCAAAGCCACGAGAAAGCACAGTCCCTATTGATCAAAGCGCGTCAGTATCGTCTCAATCACAAGCCCTTCACCTACCACATTACAGTAAACAGCGACAAGAACACGAAGGCGGTCGTTCGCATCTTCTTCGCACCGAAATACGACATTCATGGTCATGAACTCGACATAAGCGAGAACTACATGAACTTCTATGAGGTGGATCAGTGGATCGTTGACCGTAAGTCTCGAATTTCGCGTTGTCGAATATTGCTTTTAATAGTTTGTACATAATTGACGATTGGAAAACATGAAACTCTCAGCGAATTAGCTTCAGAAGAGACCAAATTGATATTGTACCTTACAGTCAACTTCGAATAGATATTGCTTCGTTAGAATGTCAAAATCAAACTTTTCAAGCTAGTTTCAAAAACGTACAATACCAAAAATATTCGTCTCTCCTTCTCTCAACATTTCTCGAAGAAGAAATTTACTTTGAACATCACACGAAGCGAATACGAATATTTCGCTTCTTTCGAAATATTCTGATTCGAGTTTTCCATTAAAATTAATATTTAACCGCCATTTTGCGTTTGTCGCAGTGAAATCCGGCGTCAACAAAATCGAGCGCAACAGCCACGAGTCGATCTACGTCGTTCCGGACGAGATCCCGAGCGAGGTTATGTACAAGAAGATCGTGAAGGCCATCGAAGGTGAAGAAACCTTCACCTACCCAGAACAGATGTACGGTTTCCCCGACCGCCTGATACTTCCTAAAGGCAAGAAGGAAGGTTTCCCGCTCAAGATGTTCGTCTGCGTGACGCCATTCGACGAGACCAAGTCCTTCGAGATCCATTCTCCTGTCTGGGGCCTGAGCGTGTCGGACGGTCACACATTGGGATATCCGCTCGACAGACCCGTGCACAGTTTCAACTTCACCGTGCCCAACTTCTACACGAAGGACGTGCTGGTTTACCACAGACAGGCCGAAGAGCTAAATCTTACCGTGTAAAACAATCTCTCTGCGATCCTTCTTGACGGACAATCACGTCCATTTCTCGTTTGCTCGCGTCTCTCTACTTTCGGCCACAGTTTCAGACGATGATATATCTCGCATACATTCGAATATTTCCCGCTTACAGCTTACATTCGTTACGTGCGATCGCCAGATTGACAGCCCGACTAGCTCGAATAAGAGAAGCAAAGCGCGCACAGTAGTAACGTCGTCTTCTTGCGCCGTTGTGTTCTGTATAATACATCTGGACTACACTTGAAATAAATTCTCCGAAACATTTTGCGTCATCTCGATGTTCGTTTTTTCTCTCCCATGCCAAATCCTCTTCCTATTTCTGATCAGTCTTCTGCTGTTCTTATCCGAGAGTTTAACCCTTATTCCGTTTTTTTAAAATAAATCAGAATAAAAACGTTTCTAATTCAATCAAACCACTTCATCTATGATCAGTGAATATTCACTGTATGGAAATGCCCCTAATTTGCTGCTTCATCTTATATCTTACCAATTTTGATCAGTAGAAATAAGATTTCACTGCAAAATCTGTAGTATACAAATTCATTGTACCAAATTCAACTTTCTAAAATTTGTGGTGATAGAATTAACGGCTTATACAGGTCTACGTGCAATGAAACTGTCTGTACATACAAACGGTGTTAATAATAGGAACAGCCGTTTCTATTAATCGATTTTTTTCAGTAAGATTTTATTGATTATATACTTGTAACCGAATCATCAGTTATAAATATGGCATTTTAATGAAGAATATATGAATTGTACTTTAGAGAGTGAAGTCTTTTTTATTGATAAAAAACTTTTAAATGTAACTGAAAGTCAATCAGAAAGCTTATTTGGATTTTATTGATAAAAGAAAGTTTATGACACGAATCCTTATCTCGCGATAGCGTAAAAGATGAGGCGATTTAGTTTAATATTTTATTCGCATCTATTTCCATATATTTGCGCCTGTTGTTACTTTAGGGAGAAAATACTGTACAACAAAAAATACAACAAAATTTTAAAATCTTTTAAATTTTGTAATCTTCTCCGTGCACTTTCCTATCCTTATTCTTATTAGGATATTCGTCGTAATACAAAATAAACTCGAAGACCCGCCGATTATTTCTACGCTACTGCGCGTATAATTAAATTAATAAAAAAATGAGAAAAGAATATTTTCTCTCTTTGCAGTTATATTATAGTATTATACATCGTAGATATTATTGTATTATACATCATTAGTTGTGTTTCTTTATGTGTCGGTCATGCATCGTTTCGAAATTTGTGCGACGATTTGGATAATCACGAAGTTCGTTCGCCGATGATACTCGGTACAAATATGCGATAAATATGTGACTTACGAGCCTTTGCAATTGTACACAGATAGACACGCGTTAAAAGCATATCCTTTCAGCGGAGTCGTAAGCGGATGTTGTAATCTTCCGATAAGAGATAATAAGCAGTAATGAATACGTGGAAGTGTTTCACGTGTATAGGTGTGACATTCCGTCGCTTGGGAGCAAAGTGAACGGGAGGATGGCAAGCGTTTTCGAGACGTGTGTGTAACTTCAATTTGTACACTGAGAGAAATTACAAAATTAACAAACAAATATTTCCGATCAAAATACCGATGAATTTTCATATCTGATCAGGAAACGTCCAATGAGAAATATAGGTTCATAATATTTTCATCGGTTTATCTGATAAAATGCTATTATGATCGGAACACGGAAAAAAAAGATTTGGTTGAATTAACCAAATATCTGTTCAATATGAACGGTCCAGAAATTCCGATTGAAGTAACCCGAATTTAAGTTAACAAGATTTTTGGCAGACTAACCAAACATGTCTGGTTATTTAATCAGACATGTTTAGTTAAATAATAAAAAAATGGTTATTTAACCAGACATGTTTGGTTAGTCTACCAAAAATCTTGTTAACTTAAACAGAATTCGGATTACTTCAATCGGAATTTCTGGATCGTTCATATTCGACCAGATATTTGGTTAATTCAACTTTTTTAATTTGGTTAATTCATCTTTTTTTTCTGTGAAGTATTCGATAAAATTTAATCAGATATAAAAACTGGTCGGAATTTGATCGTAAATATCCGTTTGTTAATTTTTTATCGAATAATTTTTCACACTGTGTAATCGTGTCGTGATTATCCACTCTGTAATAATATTGTGCAAAAGTCTATCAATCTGGTGATTAGCAGTTTCCTATAGATGAAAAATCAAGTCGTTGCGTTATAACACGATATCGTATATGTAACTCAGCCTCTCTTCCTCTCTTTCTTTTTCTTCCGTGTGAATCGGCTTATTTCTGCAATATATACATATACATTCTGCAATAAATTAACGTTGTCTTCGAGCAGAGAAAAATAGTTATGCTTATGGTTTTCTAGTCACAACAAAACTGCAAAGCGCAGCGATTTAGCACTTATCGCAGGTCATGGAGCTGGCGACCTTTCGAGGATTAATTATCAGACTCAAACGGCAGACTTAATAAGTTGCGATATATCTTATTATCTTGACTAACAGCTGTTAACAGCTGTTCGCTGCCAATCTGTCGTAAATCTATGGTAAATCCGGATATGATAGCCATACCGGAAAGATGGCCATAGGCTGTAATTTATCTAATAATTGCAAAACATTGCGTTTGTGTAATCAGTCACAAAGATAATCGATATTTATCGTAATGCATGTGCATACATTTTTCGAAATAGCAAGATTATAAATATTATATATTTTTATTTTCAACTACCTGTAAAATATCCGATTAAGTTTAATCGGATAAAACAATAGTCCCAATTATGAATCGAGTCCTAATTTCGAATAAAACTTCATTAATGTGTTAAAAAAGTACACATTCTGGTGAATACATCGAGTTTTAATGCAACTAAACGTCCAGACGAGTGTTTTCGATCACAAAGATATTGTTTTTCGTCAGCGAATTCTTCGTCTCCGATGTTTTTTTGTGAAATTGGATTATACTGAAATTGTATATAGTACAAATTGCTACAAGAATAGTAAATTTGATGTACTTCGAAATGTTCACCATAACTGGAAATTGCAGAAATAGAGAGATAAATTGTCACATAGTAAACGGTAAGATGCATTTATAATTTGGATCGGAGTCAAAAGTCGCCGGCGATAAGTGCGCGTAATTATGTTTACGCGATCGTAATGAAGTCCGAAGTATCGCCAGTTAAAAGACAAATTAAACAATTTAGCCAGCCAGCACATTAGTTGCTGTAAATATGATTACGTCGTACGGGACGCTTACGCAAATATACTCTCGATCGATTAGGTGTCTTCGTAAATAACACCTTCGCGATGACCCCTCGCGCGAAAATGTATCTGCCAATCGCAACTGACAATAATCGCCAAAGAGCAGCGTTTATCGTTCGTCGGGGCGCGACCCAAAGCGAGGCCACCGAAAGTCATCGATGTAATGTAGAAAATGAATCGAATTAATATATCACCTTTTTCCTGATAATTCCTTTTATATTATCCTTTTGCGTGAAGAAAAAACCCGAACAAAACATTCGTTACACGCGCAGCAATCTCGGGGATTTACTCTCTTAAAGTGAATCAGTGAAACATCATTGAAAGCAGTGAATATACACTGATTTGCAGTTATAAGTATAGCACTGAAACTGTTCAGTGCTATAATTATAACTGATATCAATGACTATTCACTGATTCACTTTGAGATTACCGTTCCATCAGACCGTGGTGATTTCTCAATTTCTCACCTGTTAAATTCACTTCAGACACTCAACCAGTTGTGTATCATGAGACGAGAAAACAATGAAGAAATACACAACAGCAAACATCTGTACAACGCATCAATAATTCGTTCGAACAACATCGAACATCGACTGCGGTGGTGGGAGCGGATTTAAACGAAAGAATTTAAAGAATCTGTCGATTCGATATATCGACGCACGCCCTCGTGACCTATCAGTTTGATTGCGCGCTCGCATGAAAATGTATAAAAGTGAGTATGCCGTTGTCGGAACGTCGCTCAGGCTCCGGTCTCTCGAGCTAAAACTACTCTGCGACTACGGAAAGTTGGGAAAATGAAGCGGATGGCGGTACTGGCCGTCTTCGCGGCTGTCTGTCTCGCTCTGGTAGCGGCGGACTATAACACCGTGAAGATCGCCGACAAGGACTTCCTTCTCAAGCAGAAGAAGATCTACAACCTGCTATACCATGTCTCGCAACCATCCCTCATGAACCCCAGCCTGTACGAAGAAGGCCGGTCTTACGATATTGAGGCCAACATCGATTCTTACACTAACAACGTAAGTAAACGACAACGTACGACAACGTAAACGACAACGTACTCTCTTAAAGTGAATCAGTGAATAGTCACTGATATCAGTTGTAGCACTGAGCACTTTTAGTGCAACACTTATAACTGCAAATCAGTGTATATTCACTGTTTTCAGTGATGTTTCACTGATTCATTTTAAGAGGGTACAATTGACGCGAACCAAGACAATGTTGCAGTCACACGTTAGAGTATACACCACAAATTTCTCAATGAAGCCTGAACGTCTACTAAGCTAAAGATCTTGAGACTTTATTGAACCTCAGTGTGTACCGACTCGTGGTTTTACGCCAACTTTTCATCACTTTGCAGACCGCAGTGAAGAATTTCCTCTATATGTACAAGTATGGTATGCTACCTCGCGACGAACTGTACTCCCCGTACTACCCGAAGCTCGTAAAAGAAACCAAGGCTCTGTTCCGTCTGTTCTACTATGCCAAGGACTTCGACACCTTCTACAAAACTGCACTCTGGGCGCGTGTTTATGTCAACCAGATGCAATTCTGCGAAGCGCTATACACGGCCGTTACCCGTCGCGAAGACACCAAGTTCATCCAGTTGCCGCAGCCCTATGAGATGTACCCATACGCATTCTTCAACTCCGAGGTACTCGAGAAGGCGCATCATGCGAAACTCTTCGGCAAGCTCGGTGAGTGAGCGAACGGCCGAACTAATTAGCAGGCGGAAAAACTGCGTGACTTATACAATTTTGTTGTGTCTTGTTTCGAAACTTTCTGAATTTATAAAACTCCCGCGTAGTCAGTCTGAATGGCAAAGTTAAGCGCGGTTTGGCCGTGCCGATTCTTTTGCTTCATGATACATTAGTTGAGTAATTTTAATTGTCAACGTTAATTTTAACGCAGACTCGAGGAAGTTCGGCGACTACGAAACCTACATCATCCCGGCCAATTATTCCGGATGGTACATGTCGCGCGACTACGACGTCGAGCACAAGCTCAACTACTTCACCGAGGACATCGGCTTGAACGCCTATTACTTCTTCTTCCGAAAAGAATATCCGTTCTGGATGAAGGGCGAGGAGTTCGGATTGCAAGAGTACCGCGGCGAGGAGTTCCTGTACGCTCACAAACAGTTGTTGATGCGTTATGGCTTGGAGCGATTGTCCAATGACATCGGACATAAGGTCGAGGATTTTGATTGGTTCGGGCAATTCTATACCGGGTATTACCCGACGATGACCTACCACAACGGGCTGCCGTTGCCACAGAGAGGATACTTCAGCAAGTTCCCTTACTACAAGTATAAATACATAAAGGTGCGATGATGAGTCTCGACTATGCTGAGAGCTTCTCTTCTTGTTCTTCGCGTTACTAAATTCGATTTGTCTCAAGACATTCGATCGAAATTTTCAATTATTTATTAATTCACGAAGCGTAACAGAAGTTCTCGATATATTTTGCCAATCTGTATAGAGTATTGCATGTAGGTCAATATTATGGGTTGCCTTTGCGTTTCGCTAAAACGTTTGCTGACGTTTTGTTGAAAAATCATCGTCGTATTTTTTCCCATAGCACATGCACGAAATAGAGAACCGAATCGCCGGGGCCATCGATTCCGGAATCATCCTGGACGCAAGCGGCAAGATGGTCAACATCTACACTCCCGACGGCCTCAATATCCTCGGCAACATCATCGAGGGCAACATGGACTCCTGCAATCTTAACTTCTACGGCAGCATGGACGCCCTTGCGAGAAAGATCCTCGGCTACAACTTGGAGCCGTCTACGCCCTACCAAATTATTCCAAGCGCCCTCGAAATGTACAGCACCTCCATGAGGGATCCCGCGTTCTACCGTATTTACCAGAGAATATTTGAATTCTACTACAACAGGTACTATGCGTGATTTGTCTTTCAGTAATTCTTAAAGGATGAATTGAATACCGGATGCAAGTTCACCAAAGAAAACGTGTCAACAACCCAACTTGAAATTTATCCCACGATCCTGATGAGATTGATTCTAGTCAGTTATTTGATTTGTATAAGGTAATGTTATCGAATCTTAATTATTAATAATCCAAAGATCTAAAGTATTAATAAAGTTTTGTTGCCACAATGTGTTATATCACTTACCAGGATTTGACAACATTTACAAATTAGATAACTTATTAGGATCAACTTGATCATGGGATAAATTTTAGTCGGGAAGTCTGTCGAGAAATAGAGGTTTACCGAGAAAAACATGTTGCATTCAACGAATTCAACAAAGAAAATTTCTTTCACTGACTGTACTCCGTTTGTATTTTTCTCACAACAATACTAATCTGTTTGGCTTCCACACAGATACAAGCTACATCAGAAACCATACAACAAGAACGAGGTTGTCTATCCAGAACTGAAGATCGAGTCATTCGTCGTGGACAAACTGACCACCTTCTTCGATCAATTCGATGCCACGATCAGCAACGGTATGGTGATCGACGACGCGAAGGAGGCCGAGAGCATGTTGATTAAGGTTCGTCAGCATCGTCTCAATCACAAACCATTCAGCTTCCACTTTGCTATCCACGCCGACAAGGCCATGAAAGCCGTCTTCCGCATCTTCCTTGGCCCGAAATACGATATTCACCACAAACCACTGGACTTTGCTGAGAATGCCAAGTATTTCTACGAGATGGACAACTTTATAGTCGACCGTTAGTACAAACTCAACTCTTTTTAATATTATTTCAATTGTGTGTTATTATATCGTATTATTTTTAAATTGCGAAACGGGAACAAATTTATGAAGAACGCGGCAACTTGGGAGCCATATCGAGCATGACTTAAATTAGTCTCACTTTTTCAGATTGACGAGTGTCTCTTTACTTTAGCGTCTGATAAAAAGCGCATTGCCTTATACTCTAAATTTCAATTGTATCAATCCACAGAAGTGAACTGAATCTAAAGGGGAAATTCAGAGAATTAAAGTGGACTCTTAATTCTACATTAAGAATCCACTCTAAGTCTGAATTAAGCATTCACTCTTTTGATTCCGAGTGACAATATTTTCGCTTGAGTGAATTCTTGCTAATTTCGAGTGATATTTTATTCCAAGAAATTTAGGAAGTAATTGACTCTAATCAATGAATTCTTCTATCCCGTTTCTTCTTCCATCTATCTAATCTTTTTCTCTTTGTTACGCACGTAGTAAACGCCGGCACGAGCAAGATTGTGCGCAACAGCCAAGATTGCTTCTTCGTTATGCGCGAAGATCAGCCTAGCGAGGTGTTCTACAAGAAGGTGGTGCAGAGCTTGGAGGGCTCGGACTCTTTCTCCTACATGGAACGACTCTCAGGTTTCCCCGAGAATCTTTTGCTGCCTAAAGGCAAGAAGGAGGGTATGCCCTTCCAGATGTTCGTGTACGTGAGCCCGCTCGAGGATGAACCCGTACTCTACATGTCTCGTATCTTCGGAAGCTACAAGTTCGACAAGAGGTCGCTCGGATTCCCACTGGACAGGCCCACCCTCAACTTCCACTACGACGGGCCGAACATGATGCTGAAGGACGTCGTTATCTACCACAAAGACGAGACGGAGATGAACGTCACTTATTGATGGCTCGTTAAGTCTTCTTCCACCTCCGCTCCGATCATTTAATTCGATGTAACCATCCGCAACTAAACATATGTCTAACAAAATACATTTGTCTCTTTTGTGTATACAATAGAATATTATTTTTAAAATATAAAATATAAATAAATTCAGAGAATTAGTCTTTTCCGTGTATTAAACGATACTTTTAAGAGAACGTCGTCGAAAGGATTAAGAAATATAATAAAATAAAGTAACAGAAATAGAAAGAGTGCTTTAAATTGAATTTAGTCCCCGCTATCTCAAGTTGAACGAATCAAGACTTCTGCTATTCATAGATTAATTATTTATGGATCAATTATTCGTTACTCATAGATTCACAAGTTAATTTCATACTCATATTCATAGAAACAAGAAGTCATATCGGTCCTTTTCTCGAGATGTAATGTCAAAATAATATTTAAGCTAAGTAATACACGAAAAGCGAACGAGAAGATTCTCGGATTGCAGATCCGAGATAGATCAGCGTTATAGATATAGATCATCGAATATAAATCACGCAAAAGAAATCATCGATTACGACGTATAACGCAAAAACGATGTTATTTTTTGCTTTTTACGTAATAATCTGAGGTGATCGCGGTGCAGGAGAAAGATGCCTCAAAACCCCGGTTCCTCCTTCTCGCACCTCTACCTCGCTGACGGTCAAGTACACGGAGTAAGGTGAAGGCAGGCAGGCAGGTGAGCGGTGCTACGCTGCAGAATGGTGACGGGAAATTCAGTTTTGCTATAACCGTCGGCTGGTGGACAGGCCGGAAGACTGGCTCCGCGAAATAGTCTCGAGGAAAGCTCGGTGACCGTACACGACTATCGCGATAAGCGCACATTTCTTCCGTGCTTTACGTTTCGCTCACGTCGGGGACCCGATAAACGCGCCATGGACTTTCGCACCTTTGTTGTAAGTCACGAGCATTCTACCGTTGTTACTATTAAGAAGTACTTATCACTTGTTTTTTTTTCACGCGATAATTAACGGATGTATGTGCGTTGCTCTAATTAAACTCCGGTTTTTCCTCACGCCAGTAAGCGCGCCTCAGCACTGAGGCGTCCCTGCAAAACACGCGTGTGACACGGAAAACGTTCTTTAGACGTCTTAGTGCGTTCTTTAAATCTTAAAGTCGTCTTCTACAGACTTTAAGACGTCGTAATGTTCTTTGGCACGCTTTTGTCTTTTACCCGCGATAATGCTTCCGCGATCAGATCCGTGTATAATTTTCGAAAGCTCCTCAATATTGGAGTGCAACACAAAGTGTATGTGTGTGCGTGTGTATGTGGATATGTGTGTGGAATTTCGGATTAAGGAATTCATTTCACATTAAGCGGGAAGTTCCGTAAACATCGCGCGCTAAATGAATCGAGTCTACCGTTTCGATACCGGTTTGAAGACGTCACCGTCCCCGTAACTGTATCGGCGCTTCCTAACACTCAGACCTACGGCAAGAAAGTAGGACGGACGTCCACTTGGCGTGGGCAACGGGAGGAATATCTGCGCGATAAAGTCTCTCCCTCGAGTACCATCAAGCGCGACCCGCATCGTTTTGAGAGAGACACGAGAGTCAACTCGCTCGTTATTCTTCTTGAACGCGCACACAGATGCGTCCGGCAAAAAATTGGAGAAGTACAACGCGCGAACAACGGTAACGGTGTTACGGTATTCTTATCTTGAAAATCGGGCTACCGGTATTCGTGTGCATGCATCTTCATTAATCGCGCACTCGCGCCACGTATATAGCGGTAATAAATTGTGCGTGAGGTCTAACCACGCGGGGAACTGTTCGCACGTAGAAGAAAATACTTCTAATCGCCCCTTTCGCGTTATGTAGACGACGCCTCCCTCGTCTCGCTTGCACGTTTCTATGCTCGTAATTATGAAAGTTAGCCGATTATAGTGTATAAATTCCTCGTTTAATTCTCGCGACGAAGAATTCAGGTAGCAGGATCTTTTTTATATCTCCTGATAGATACTTTGGTTAAAAACAAAATATTCACAATACAAACGTCGAAAAGAGTATCAAATGTTGTATCAAGAAAGAAATTTGTAAATGAAAGGATTACTTTCTATTTCTGACACAATATCTGCTTTTCTTCATACTCTGACATTTGTAGTTTTACTCTGCAAAAGCATTCGCAATTCCGTGCAAACAAGCAGAAAAACGGTGCAAACTTACGAGAGCGCAGTATGTCAGTATTCAGCATCCCCAGATGGACTTTTCACCTGCATCAGAGTCTCGTGCGTGAGAAAATCGAAGATGACCAACGCGCGCCTCGACGATAGCGCGGCGTCCCGAGTCGCGCGCTAGTCGCTAATGCTTCCGCAAAAGAGCGAGATGCGGAGTGAGTAAAACCAATCTCTGGAATCCGTCGTGAGAAATTCGTCGATAGAACGGTATAACACGCCTCGGTTAGTAGGGCAACGCTCGAGCAATGCGCGCACGAGCGCTTTATAAAATAGGCTGAGCAGCCCGGAGCGTGGACCGTATACCGTTAGCGTCGAACGCGCATACTTCGGTGGCTACGAGGCGATCGCCGCGCAATCATCCCAACTGCACCGGTGTGTCGACGCGATGTAATGCTAGTTAGCCGTTAGACTGGATCTACCGTGGGTGCAGTAAAAGTCTCCGCACAAGAACATCCGTAACATGTTAAGTTTACGGATTTCTTTGTGCGTTGACTTAACCCTCAATTACCTTTCAATAACCAAACCTTTCAATAACTTGCACCATATCTCAGTATCCGGGATACCCGGGTCAATATGGAATTTTCTACGTTGCCAATAGAAAAGGGTCCCCAAATGCAGTTCGATCCTAGGTTTGTGATGAACATTCACAAACAATTAATAAATGCGAAGTGCGTTTTCAGAATAAATAAAATATCCACAACTGTTTAAATTAAGCATTTTTACTATTAACTATCTAAATATATTATAAAACATCTCCGTTTCTTGCCTTTCTAATATAAAATGCATGTGGGTACTCGGGCATCCGGTTACTGAAGAACCGTATAATCAAGTTTGACGACCGTAAACTCAGAATTTTTTTTATGTTTTCATATAAAAATCTGAATTTAAGTGAAATTGTTCAAATAATGGGGATCCGGAGCTGTTTGGCGCTATTTTCAGTGGCAATTACCGAAATTAAAAAAAAACACGAAATGAGTATCCGGGTACCTGGTTACTGGTACGAGGGTTAAGGGGATGCTGAAGCTGAAAACTTTACCGACAGAACACTCACATTTTTCTGCAAAGTTTACATCGTATTGGTTACACAGAATTACAAACGTTTTTATGCAACGAAAGTACATGCAAAAATAAATAGGAACATTGCTCGATATGTGACGAAAACGAACAAAAAAATTTTAATGTAACATCTCAAGTTGTCAGTTAGCGTAATATTTGCCTGATACAAAAGTTCCGCATCTACATACCGAAAGTGCGGATGCTCCAAACAGAAAAATTTTGCAGAACATTGCTCTATCTTCGCATTTGCATTTGGAAGCTTCAAAATATCGAAAAAGTTTGCAGAAAGATTTCTACATATATATGATTTTCCGTTGAATATAGTAAAACAAAGTAACACACATTCATGTAAGTTCTATATATATAAGAAATACGAAAAGGATAGCGTGATTACGTTAGTAACGATCGTCTCTGCATTATCGACATTGTTCGAGTTCGTCATCGACTCCAGTATCCCCTTAAGTTTAATTTTACATACAGGTATGGCCATTACATTGTCAGTACTTAACGTAATGTAACATAACAACGTAATGTTGTGCGTTGGCTCATACCCCTTGTCTATAATCTTGCTTTAATTTTTAAGCCGTAAGAAATTGACCAACCACAGTCGATTATTTTAAAAATAATCAACTGTGATTTGTCAATATCTTACGGCTTAAAGATTAAAGCAAGGTTGTGGACAAGGGGTAAGCCTTCAGTTCCTCAGTTCTGTAGCTCCACTTGGTTAATTAAATTTATGTCTTACGTCTACGGTTACGGAAATTTGTGTGCGAAAGCTCTAAAACTTAAGAAGACTGAAGGATCAGTTTGCCTGAAAATCGTGCTTGTTCTTTCACAATTTTTAAGATAAACTGAGTTATACAACATATAAACAAAAAAAAATATAATTTTGATGATCAAATACTCAATATAAATGTATGGTACATGCAGTTAAAATATATTTCGTTTTCCTTTTCAAGGTCGTCATTTTGCAGCAACCATTGACAAACTCGTGAAAATAATTAATTTTGAAATATTAATCTTTTTACTATAAGAGAACTGAAAATTTAATAATATTCCATTAAGATATTTGCAACTTTGTTAATTTTTCAATTTCTATTATAGTGGTTCACACGATAACGACAATGTAATGTTCTCGTATAGTTCCTGCAAGAAGTTACTGATAATTGAAAATACGCTAATATTTTTATAAAGTACCTAAAAAATGTTAAAGCCTGTATGGAAGTAACTTTGTTTCCGTATAAAAACCCATTAAATTCAATACATTAAATTACGTATTGTTACGTATTATAGAGTCATTCCGTTATAGTGACGTATCATAGTGTCAGTTTGGCGTCATTTTTAAATTCTTCATTATCTTTGAGATATGAGCAATACACCTTTGAGTTTATCGCTCACATCTTCTGTGCACCACGACCTCTACCGTACGCACATCGTATCGTTAAGAAGAAGGTGCGTTTGCTCTTGTTGAATCTTCACGCTGCTCGCGCGTATGCTTCAGATGATACTGCTGTGCGCGTCGTCCTACGCCGAGGATTACGAGAGATCTGGAAACAACAACAAGCCGATCGCCAGCGAGAACGAAACCGCAGGAAAAGACGAGCCTCCCGAAGGGTACTACGCGTTCGTCGAGTCGCCAAACGCGGAACCACCCCGGGTCCGACCACCGCCGTACATCGAGAGCGACAAAGAATGTTACGGTATCTAAATGAATGAATGCAATTAGGGAAGACCGGGGCTAGAATACCCTATATTTTAGAATTTCGAACGTGACATTTGGATTTTAGATAGCGGTAAGCAGGGAAAGGGATTCGTCTCGATACACAATATCTGCGGCGACTTGAACAAAGGCTTCATTCCGCGGAATCCGATGAAACAATACGTGAACGGCACGTCGTATCCTTTGTGAGTAATCAGAAGCATTTACCGTGGAAGCCGCGTTCGATGACACGATTGAAAAACGGCTGTTTACGAATTTTGTTCGCAGCGCATTGATAAAGAACCACACCCTCAAGTTCCTCAGCAAAGCGTTACCGATCCTCAAGGCCGACGATTCGCTGCCGAAAGTCGCAAAAGTGCACCCGCTCTCGCAGAATTCGTAAGTGTTTCAAAATCTAAAAATGCGAACGTCAATTTTGTTCTTCAATTATTGAAATGTCAGCCAATCGATGAGATCGATTGACAGTGTGTGTTGTCTAAAAATACCTACCAGTTCTCTCTTAGAACTGAAAAAGCTGAAAAACTAAAAAGTTTAATTAGCATTCGATTAATATCAGTCTAATGTAAAAAATAACAGACAAATGGAAGTAAAGAAAGAAAACGTCGTTACTAAGGCGAAGATAATTATATGAGATGTAAAATATTTATATACACACATACGTTGCGATATACACGAAACGCTTCAATCTTAAAATTTGGACCTTTGTTCTTCCAAAAGTTATATAATGTTAAAACGAAAAAAAATAACGCTTACAGCTGTCAAACTTTGTTCAACATTAAAGTTAAATTATACAATCGGCTGATTTTTTTCTACAGCGTCGATATGGACGAGGAAGAGAAACGCGGTAGAAGTAAAAGATCCAGTCCGACAGATTCGACTATAACTACGGATTCCAGTCGAAACGGCCGCAAGTTTTGCGAAAACGGTGGCGGAGTGTGAGTAGCGCAGTTCCACTACGTTAATTCAGGATATCGCGATTTTCGTGAATGTGATTTTCACGAATGAATTTCAAGTGTCGGAAGAAGATATTATTATCAAAACATTTATAGTGTAGTTCTCATGAAACTATTGTAATGTTCAAATAAAGTTATAATATTGTCAAAATTTAGAGAGAGAGAGAGAGAGAGAGAGAGAGAGAGAGAGAAGGCTTAAGATTTCTTCTAACAAAATGATATATTATTATATATATAATTATAGATAAAATTATATATATAATTGCGTGATTTGAGTATATTAATTTCAAGTGGATATTAAATCTTTGTTCTCTCTGCGACGAATAGGGTGTGCATGCTGTACAAGGCAATTCAAGGCGAACCGATCGCGTCGCCGGCGTCGGTTATTGAGCGCCGGGACGAGCCGTCGACGTCCGAGTATCGACGTGGTGAACGCGTACCGTCGCAGGAGAAAACTGAATACACGGGGCCACCGACACCATGCCCGGCCAAGGTCGAGTACGCCACTCCGGTCTTCGCCAAGAACTACCAGGGCGTGTGGAGATACGTGGTGCAGATACCGTACGAGGGTTACTTCACGCAGACGATCGAGCTCACCAGATGCATGTAAGGAATCAGCCGAATCTCATAAACTTCAAGTTGAAAGGCTTAGTTCGAAAGGTCGCGGCTCACCCTAATTGGCGCGTTTCAAATAAGTTTCAGCGTACTTGTCGAGATGGTAAGGCAGTGGAAAAAATAAAGTAGTTGAACGCACTTCAACCAGACATGTACTTGCAGGCAATCGAGATGTCATTACTTGGACGGAGGATGCTTGTCGTCACCGAGATGGACGAGTCTGCTGGTCGCCGAGATATTTTATCCGGACACATTTATAGAGGAGAATCAAGGCTCCGGCCCGACAACCGGATCTGGCACACGAGAGCCTGTCGCTGGATCGCCGCCACCGGTCCACGACTTTCAAAATTATCAGCAGTATTTGCAGAAACGTGCGAGCACGGGAGAGGCACGTAACAACGGTAGCGTTCAGCAACACCACTGCGACGGTGTCGACGAAATGGGTTGCTTCCAGGTGAGAGCGCAACAGTCAGTGAATAGCGTTAAAATTAACATGACAAAATTATGAGGAAAGGTAGATTAAAGAGAAAGCTCATATGTCACGCGAGGCTACAGAGGATTTGTTTTAATTTCCCGTATTACTAACTTTCTCATTACCTTTCCCTTTAGGTGCGACTGTATTACGATTGGTTCTTGGTGCCGGGAAGCTGCAAGTGCTGGCGGCCGGATTATTTCAATCGATACGTTCGTCGCAGCGGTTCCAACGTTGAATTATGACGAGGCTCACGAGGACACTCTCAATTCCCCTCGTGTGATTACATCGATCGTAACTGCACGCGCTGACGAGGCTGACAGCAACTCAGCTGAATCGCTCGATACATCGCGTGCAACCAAACGTTGGCACGTGTTTACTTATACGAGATATTATTTATTCAAAGCGCCACGTGCACCGCGTCGACGGAATTATTCGATTTTCGCTAATTTGTAAAGGCGGTAATTCCATAGGCTATAACGTTTAAGACGATCGAACGTATTTGACTATATACTTTGATAGACTGCTAGCATCCACGACTTGCTACTAAATCTATGTCAAATAAGAAAGGCCTGTATGTGTATGTTAAAAAGGAGATGAAGAGAGACGTCGCAATCGACGTTCTCCACAGAGAAAGAGAGAGAAAAGTCTCTTTTAAATTCGCGTTAAAAAAAAGAAAGAAACCTAAAAATTATACGCAAAGTTTTCCTCGGCTCTGCAACACGTAATGCAAGTTTTTCGTGGATTCCCATGGTTTCACGATGCAATCTACATTTATCCGTTTTTAAGATGTGGATTTAGAAATGAACGTACGACATATCGCTGTGATTTTGTTATTGAAATTGGTCGAGGAATCTGCTGTTATTTATCAAATGCATTTTCTCTCATATTTATTTCAAATTCAATGACTAGAGATTAATGTTTATCCATGACGGAATCTCTCTTCGCTAAATAATAAGTACGACGTGTAATAAGTGATAATAAAGAAGTCAAGCAAGCGAGTAGACGCGTACGAGAAGGGTCGACAGTGAAAATCACCAAATGATGCGCTCTTCTTCGACTTCCTTACAAATCTCACTACTAATTCGCTGTATATGCATGTGCATTCTTTACGTAGGACATATACGTAATATATACATACACGTAAGATATCGCCTACGTAAAGAATAATTGTTAGAAATATCACGCGCAAATATTGAAAAATTGTTTAGGCTAACCTCGGATTCGACTGGACTTAGTAATATATTTATCTACATCGGTTTAGCGAACAACTAATTGTACTAAATTCGTCCAACTTTATAAAATAAACGCTTGGGTGAACACGCAAGAACGTTTGCGCCGTCATTTCCGGATAACGGAAATCGTCGATCTCACCCAGCGTCTTTGGAGGAAACGTGGCCAAACGTAAAAAGGAATGGCAAATAATAATCCTTACCGTAATTATCAGTGCGCAATATAATTATTATATGGCAGTAAACAATTAAATATTTAATAATAACCAGACACTGACAAGTTTTACGGTCAACAGGTGATCCTTCTCAGTATGATTGTGTAAATGTCAACGTTTAAAAATGGTGTGTGTCAATGAAAGTATAATTACGCTATTCCTTTTCGCGTTTAAGCCTCTAAGAACCGTATTTAACGTTTATAGCGAAACGTTTCCCGTTCGAATTTCATCTGTGATATCTTCGTGACAGCCTGTGACACGTCTCGATGTCACTATCTTACTTCGACTCGCCAACGAAACGAAATACACGCGTTAAAAACAGCACGATAAATGCACATCATCGCTCGTGAATGTCTTGAAGTTTCAAAAAGCACCGTTATGTACACGATATTGCGTATGTGTGTGTGACGTAAGTGGCTCGTTGCGCGATATATTTACAAAACGAAAATGTAGAGTCGCGCGAAACGTAAATCTCGCGTATGTATAGCCGCTAAAAATACAACGTGTCTAAGAACGTCCACGATTAAGGCCTAACCGCCTGAACGTACATGCGAGTACGTTTGTTCCTTGACAAGGTAAGAGGTGCGCATTAATTCAGGGAGATGCCTTGTATCCACGAGCTGAGATCGCTGGTCTCCTCACAGCTAAGATTCAGCGCCTGCTTCTCGCCCGGCTTGGTGCCCAACAGCAACTCGGCGGCCGTACGACCGGTCAAGTATGCCCCGTGCACCGTGCTGTAGAACGACGAGTGGGTATGTTCGCCAGCGAACGCTATCAAAACCCTATCCGCTCCGTCCTTCTCGCCTCCTCCATCCTCTTTCGTCCGCTGCCGTACTAGAGGCTCCGCCAAGCTCCTGATATCCAACTGGCTGGCGCCGACGGCCATCGCGGTGTAGGAGCCTCGCGTGTACGGTTGCGAGTGCCACGAGGTGCGCAGGCAGTTCTTCGGAGTCGGCACGAAGGGATCGTTGAGAAATTTCCGCAAGATAGTCGTGCACACTTCCATCACCTCCGTTGTGCTGAGTTTCTCCATGTATTCGGCCGCGCGACCGGATATCCAGCCGAGCAGCAGCGTGTCCGTGATCTTAGTGAACGAATAGATCTTCCTGTACCAAGTGTTGCTTAGATCCCCCTTCTCTACCTCGGACAGTCGCCCGTCGTCCCAGAGAAGCATCACTTCCGACACACTGGGATTTAGGAAAGGTCGCTCGTACTCGAGGAATATCTTGTCCACTGTACCAAACATCAGTCTGTCTATCGCCTCGAGTTTGTGAGCGGGTAACGACGGTTCGAACATGTCCTGAGCTGTCCTTTTTAAAACGCCCAACGGCAACGTACAAACCACGTGTTCCGCCCTGATCGTCCGTCCGTTCTCACATTCTACTTCTACGAGGTTGTTCGCTTTAGGATCGAGCTCTTCCGTGGAGTCGCCGCTAATGCTGGAACGCTTCTGTTTCTGCCACCTAAAACGCAAGGAGAGTACGAAAGGTCTGATTACTTTCTTTCTCCCCCGCTACCACGCTACGTCAATATCCAAGGCTCTTATTAATGGTCGTCACTTGAAACTTGCTTCACGTAAAGTGAGAGTACGAGTTGGAATTATATTTTCTACTTAAATCATATATATGCAACATTACATTCGTAATCGCGATTGAACTGAAAAACTCACATCTAACTTTAAATTTAAATGTGAGTATCTCACGCGAGACGAGTTTCAAGTAAAAATTATTAACACGGATCTTGTTCTTCGTTTTGAATATTTGCAAGCCACACAAGTTTCGTCAATCACTCGTTATTTAAAATCATATTACGAATCAATACACATTAGCGCAATCAACTGGATTCGCAGTAGAATCAATCGAGAACTTACCTAATCTTCGTCACAACGTGTTTGGTAAGAATACAATTCTTCGGTATGTGCTTCGCAACCGGCTCCAATATAGCGCTGTAGCCGTCTGGAAGACTAATATTACCACCTTGAAGCTCGTCATAGGAGCCCATCTCTAAGAGATCCACCTCGTCCATGGTGTCGCATCCCGTGACACAGGTTTCTCTCTTGAGCAGACAGTCAAACAGCAACTGCCTGACTCTCCTTTGTTCAGGAGGCAAAGATGACAGGTATATCTCAGCTTCTAACGCGATGTGCGCCCCTACACTGCTTATTCCGTCCGGTGGACTGTACGAGCTCAGGAAGTACTCCTCGCATCGTCTCAGAAAGCACACATAAGCCTCGTAGATTTCGCGCAACACTGGAAATGGCAACTGCTTTCCGTCCTCCAGTGCCGCCACTACTTTATGAGGTTTAGGCACACGTACTATGTCTATCAAGCCGTTCGCCATTGCCAGCTCAAACATGGGATTTCCTAGCACACCGTGGATCCAGTTTGCCCCTAATTCAACTCTGTCGTTACCTAAACAAAGTGAACAAACAAGGCAACAAAGATTTGTGCATGTAAAATATAAAATGTATCACAGAGTGTGCAGTTTTAAAAGGAAGAATGTCATAATATTGAGTCATTTTCTTTCTGGAAACTTGACTCGTATTATTCTCAATAGCATTGCCTCAAAACTTGTGTCATTGCTCTTAATTCAATCTTGTCGTTGAGTGAACAAAGTGAACGGACAAGACAATAACAATTTGTATATGTGTGTAAAGTGTGAAATATATTATAGACTATTCAGTTTTAAAAAAACGTCATACAGAAAGAATATTGCGAGCCATTTCCTTTCTGGAAATTTGACCCCTTCTCAATAACTCACCGCCTCAAATATTTACTCAATCACTGTCATCTGACTTATGTCATCACTGACTTCTCTACGACTTGTACTTACTCAAGAGTTAAATAGGCAAATGATATTTCTAAACGTTCTAATGTATTATTATTGTAATCAAAAGACGTGTCACGACGATATTGTATAGTAAAATTAATTAAAATTACAACGAAAATAAACGATGACAAAATAAAGGAGAGGTTACGTTGGTCGTACCGACTTGCGCAGCGACAATCCGTCCACCTATTCGTCCGCGTGCCTCGACGATCAGGAAATCCGTCTCGTTGTTCTTCAACAGATGATTCGCCGCCGACAATCCAGCCATGCCAGCACCAATAATCAAGATTTTACACGAGAGTCGGTCATCGTCCGAGTTATTCGCGGATTCCGCCATGTTCGTTGATACCCGTCACATATCAGCGATATCAGCTGACTACAGCTGATAACGGCGTCCAAGTTTAAATAAGAATAGAGGGCCCAACTGACGAAACCAGATAGACCCGTTACAAAGAGAAGTCTTATGCAGGATTCACACCGCGTCCGATGTGGAGAACAGCTTTCTAATGGAGAGTTGATTCTCTACTAGAAAGCTGTTCTCCTATTGGATATCGGACGTCTACGTCCGACATTGGACGCGGTGTGAATCCTGCATTACGGATAAAAGACGCGAGAAACACAGAGCGATGTGGATCGATGTGTGCCCTTGCTGTTGCTTGGCGCGAAAAGATCGAGCATTTTGCGCAATTCATTACCAACGCCTAGATTGAATAACTACAATAACAACCTCGTAGTGCGAAATGAACGCGATTGGTCTAGAATGGTTAGTAGCTCGAGCAAGTGGTGTTAAGGCATCCGCCATACAGATCGCGTCGTTGTAGCTCTGGCCATTGAAATCAGGCTGGTGGCCGCTCTCATGCTTCTCTCTGATAGTATGACTCAACGATGAGTCACGTATAACGTGTCGTTCAGTGCAAAATGTGCTTGTGAGCAGACTGTTTTGAAACAGTCAACGCTGATGATATGTGTTAGTAAATTCGCGTCACAGCAAAGTGCGTTGAAAAAATTTAATTGTTAATAGTTGCAATAATCGTTATTTTGGTGGAATGTCTAAGTCACTCGTGCATAAAAGTTTGGAATATGACGAGATAGATCTGCGTCCAAATACAGGTTGGTTTATTAGTCACATGTATCAACATACTTACGGAAAAATATGTTTTGTGCAAAGTAATGATTTGCAGATAAGAAGAAGAAGAAAAAGAAACATCCTGCAAAGGATACTTTGTATAAAGGTGTCTTAGATTTGATTCCTGCTAGGCACAGATTTACCTCCGAAGAAGACAAAGCAGGTTAATACTCAGTTATCTAAATTGTACAGATTATTTTAATATTACTTTGTAACAGATCGTAATAACTACTTTTTAACTATTTTTATAAGTAATTTATGTAATTATCTTCAGTGTTATAAATTATAACTTTTCTTATGGACAGTTCTTAGTACCATCCTGGGCAGGTCTGGCAGAGTTACTGTTTACGAGGTCCAAAAACGTTTGGCTACTCAAAAAGATCCTACTGAAGAAAATGTGCAACGACTTCTTTCACTCAAAACTAATCAGTTAAAATCTGAAATGTCAAACAAAGTATGAAAAGTCTTATTTTATGAATTTATTAATCCTATATTGCTTGTGTTTGCTATACATCTTTTGTTCGTATTTTCCTGCTGATAAATAATTAACACTTCAAAATATAATGAAATAACTATTTAACATTGAAAAATAGTGCAAAGTCTACAACAGATAAGATACAGTAAGCTTAGTAAACACAATAGCTGCTTCCAACAGAGAAAGATTCTTTGAAACTGTTGTAAAATTCGTGAATTTGATTGTTACATGTTCTTAAATTCAGCCAAGATTAAGACTATACACTAATCAGATTCACTAATTTTACAACAGTTGCAAAGCAGTTTTCCCTGCTAAACACAGCTAAATAATACAAGAATAATCTCTGAAGCAATATATTTTCTTTTTAGCTGTTACAACGCGCTGTGAAGAAGAAATATATTAAGAAACAAGAGAAACCTAAAGAAGAGGCAACAGCTTTCACGGAAGAAGACTTCAAGATGTTTGAACAGGAACATATAGAGTAATGATATAGAGTAATATCGAATTGTGAAGATAGTATAGCAAATGAACGTAACTGAAGTACAAAACATCAGCGATGTTTAGCAGCGATCGTCAAAAAGGAAAAGCGATACTGATATTGACGTTTGTTCTATTTCTTTATTATACCGTCTGGGTAATTGGCTTGCCTTTCATCGACGACGATCGGTTGCGATCTCTGTTTTACTCTTACGATCTAGCTCTGGTTGTTCCCGCGACTGCGGGTTTAATTTTCGTCGGCGGTTTGGTGCTCTTCACTGTGTACCACGTGAGACCGTATTTGTCTGCATGCAAGACAGAGAAGGTAGAATAATAATCTAGACGGCAATTGTTAGATTAGATGGGGAATTATGTTGACGAATTGCGTCATATCGTGTACGTCGCGCCATCATTCACGCATGTATATACGAATACTTCGTGATATCGACCGCACGAATGTATAAACGCTGCATGATAAGTATCGGTTATATAACGATCCTACACGCGTTTACTTCACGTTTCGCGTTTACTTCACGATCTTACAGTTCGTAAGATCATTTCGCTCGCGCAATCTGTCGTGACGGGTTAGGTGCGGACTGCTCTCATGAAAGAAAAATGGCAACGACAAAGCAATGGTTCATCGTTGGAGTATCTGGAGCGACCTGTAGCGGCAAGAGCACGCTGGCTGTTAAAATTCGCGACAATTTCCCGGGATCCGTCATGGTGCGTCAGGACGATTATTTCTTGCCGCCGGACGATCCGCGTCACGTCAAGGTGACGGAATTGAATCATATGAATTGGGATGTAATTACGAGCTTAGATATGCAAAAGATGCATTCCGACGTTCTAAAGATACTCGAATCTCGCGGGAAGGATGCGGTGCACTCGAGTAAGGGCGTGTTGATACTAGATGGCTTTTTGTTATTCAAGCACAAGGCTATCGCGGACTTATGCGATCTCAAGTACTTCTTGACGCTGACGAAGGAACAATGCTGGGAACGGAGGAGAAATCGCACGTACGAACCGCCCGATGTGCCGGGATATTTCGACAAAGTGGTATGGCCCGAGTACGTGGAATACAAAAGTGAAATCACACGAGACAACAAGCTGTGCGCGTCTATAACGTTTATCGATGGATCTGAACACATGGAGGAAATTTACGAGACGGTCTCCAAGGAAATCAGTCAATTGTTATCATAGAGTCACCTTAGCTTATTTTTATGACAACCAAGTTTAAATTAACAAACATGTCACAGACACGAAATACTAAACTTTTATACATTCCTGAAAATTACAAAAAGGACACTTCAATTTCAGGCTTTATGAATGACTAATCATTAAGATATCTAATGAAGCGAGTAGAAAAGTTGCATCAATTTGTAAGCTTGTACGATGTTCTTCCGTGAAGATCTTTTTGTCGACTTGGATTATACTATTAACAAATATGTCACAAGCACGCGAAATAAAATTTTTATACATTCCTGAAAATTAAGAAGACTCAATTTCAAGTTGAATGAATTATTAATCGTTGAAATATCCAATGAAGCGAATGAGAAAATTGTATCGTGAATTTATACGATATTCTTTCTAAAGAATCTTCAATCTGAATAAAAGTTTGTGTTTTTAACGTTTAATATACGGTTTGTTGCTTATTCTGCATCCGTGTGTGTACGTATATGTCCGTGTATAAAATTTAAAATTACCGTGTTATCTGAAATAACATATTTCTATTTGACAAGATAATAAGACACTTAACAGAAGAAACTAAGGTTTGAGACGCGTGTGAGCAATGGTGTTGCGAGTACGCAGTTGATAGTTCACATCGACGTATGTTTCTCAATTCTCTAAAACGTGTAGCCTGTAACGAAATATCGCAATATATTAATCACCATGCTTACAACATGTATACAGTTCATCGGTAACTTTGATAACAAAACCTGCTTCGACTTTAGCGATACGTTTCGCTATACGACACACATTTACAGCGTGATTCTCATTCGTAAAAATTTCCACGAAATTAATAGAATGCGCGCGAATCGCGAGGATGCTCTTCATACAATCACAACCGTCCGAAATAAGCTTCCGGATATTGAAATCCCGATTTTTTTCAACAAGGTTCTCCATGATTACTCGTTTTTTTTCCTTTTGTTTTCCTTTTTTAATAAAGATAACGCACAACGACATGTATATGTTACATAGAATAAGTATTATGTTTGGTTTGACCTTGCGCATTCGTAACGTTCGTTGGTGTAGGTCCGGCAGCTTGATCGTCTTGATCGTTCTGTCCGCATGCTTTGCGAACATATTGCGGCGTAAGGACAACCTCTTCTTCCATCTCTTGCACTCGTTTGTCCAAATCCGTGCACGTCGCCATCTCCTTCTCGAAATTCGCCAGCATTTGAGGTGAGTTATACTTCTCAGGGTCGTCGTGGAACACCACCATGCCGTCTTTCTGATTGATAGTTGCAAATATTTCGCCATCCTCTATCTAAAAGCACGCAGAAATCAAGGGTGAACGAATGTCTATCCATGCCATGCCGTATGCAATGTTATCGCTGCTGCAATGACTGTCGAGAATAAGGTTTCAGAACTACGAACGAGATCCCTTGTCCTTCGTTTGATTCTTGAACACTATTTTAGTTTTATCGCGTTACACGACGATGGGAACTCACCATGTTCAGAATATAATTCTCCGCGTCAGCAGGTCCCGACAATTGAACTCTACTCGCGACATCACTTAAACTAAGCGTCAGGAAAGTTTTTGTCAGCCTCTGTATGTTCTTCTTGTACAAGTAAGCGAGCACCTGTTTCACAAGTCCTAGATTGTGATCCCTGACGAACAATTGGTGATATTTAGTGATGATGTTCTGCACTTCTTCACAGCTATTGACCAAATAGGCTGTGGCCAATTCCTGATATTGCTGACTCAATGGCTTGATGTATCTGTTGATTACTTGGCTCGTGTACCTCGGCAGGTTCAACACTTTGCCATGTAGTATCAAGGAAACTAGGATATACTTCTTGTAAGCTTCCAGCATGATATAGCTGACGGCCATCGCGGGGGTCGTCACGCACACCTCGAAGAAGTACAGTGCACGGTCGTAATTCTTCAGCGCGGTGTATATCATGCCGCCATAATAGTAGTACAGTAAAAAGTATTTCGAATCGAACTGGCCGCCCTCCTGGCTAATACCCGTGACGTCTATGTCGAGGAATTCGAGCGCAGGTTTCATGCATTTGGATAAAAGACATAGCTGGGAAAGATCGGCGTGTATCGAAGTCAACTGACTGTCAAATAGCTGTATCTTACGTATCGCACGGCGCAGCAATTCGATCCCGCGTAATGGCGTTTTCGATTCCACCAGACTCTGCGTAAGCAGGTGACATAATTCTGCGTCTGTGAATATAAGTTTATTAACAATGTACAATGTATAATATCACTGTATAATGAAGAGTGTTCAATCAAATTAATATTACATAGTGAATCAAATTAACAGTACAAAGGATTTTGTTTGCACACCGTAATATCTATAATATAAAAAATTTTTCACAAAACATATTCAACTGTAACTATGAGTTGAATTGAATTACAGGTACAAAGAATTTTGCTTATAAAGCTTAATATATATAAAAAATATCAAAGTTTGTATAAAATATATTCAACTGCAGCAATAGAAATAGTACTAAAATAACAAAAAAAAAGCAATAAAAACATGCCACAAAAGAATTTATACACTCACATGTATCCGGAGCGAGTCTAACTTGTTCTCCATTGCATCCTATGATAAATTCCTGAACCTGATTGAATAATGACTTGTTTGCATCAGAGTTGTTTCCTCCGTTAGAATTGGGTAGTGAAAATTTTGCACACAGTACCGCAAGGATACCTAATGAATGCTGCTGTAGATCTAATGTTTCCAAAACGTTATCCAAGTGTTGTCCATGTTTTGTTAATACTTCGGTGCTTTTGCTTATGACCTCGCATAATTCTCTGAAATTGCCTGCGAGAGCGATTGATCAGATATAATCTAAATGTATGATCTTATATATTGAATATATATATATATATATATGTGTGTGTGTGTACATATATATACACATATATATCATAAGGTAAGAATTCATTATTTATATTAAGTACGATACGAATTGAAATCTAGATAAGTGATTCTTCTCACGAAGAAACGGCGCCTCGCAACAAAGAGCGTCTCATGCCGTTCTTTGTTGTTGAGGTTAAGTGTTCGCGACGTCTACGGTCCTCTGCGTACCTTGCTTCGAAAGCGTCCGAACGTTATTTACAAACTGCTCTAATGCCGATGCCATTACTGCGAATATCTTCTTGTCATCACCACTCTCGGTTGGCGGATGACGCGCGACTGTCTATTTACAGAAATAATATTCACGAGCGAACATCCAGCCGAGATGACGTTTTGAAGCGAGGTCTAGTGTGAACGCAGCGCTGTTCGGAATAGTCGGTAGAATCGCGCGTGACTATCGAAAACCGCATGGATATCGATACACGCGACATGTCGAAGTGCGCGCGTCAGAGGGCGCGGTGTGACATTTTTTGAATGTGAAATCCATCATGGAGACGATTCGTACCTCGCGGGACAATTTGAGACAGAATTCTTCATCTTCTTGGGATATTGTGTGTCATGTAACGTGCAGATAACATATTTGAGAAGCTGCAGATAATGTACGAGTTATCTGAAGAGAAATTGCAAAGACGCAAGAAGTATACTGCGCGTCTACATGTAAGTTTTGTTTTCAAAATTATCTCATCAAATGTATTGTTTAGAGAGAAATGTACATATGATCCAAGACCTAATATATATTACTTAAAGTGCACCATTTGTAGACTCTGTTAGGCAGAGTAAAAAAGACGTAGGGTATGAAAAGAATAAAAAGTAATTTTCTTCTTGCTTGCAGGTGTAGAAAAAAATGGAACAACTTGCAAAGAAAAAAAGATAAGATAAATAAGCAAGAAGTAATTCAAGTTCAGGAAAAAGCAAATTGTTGTACAAATGTATATAAATGCCAATATATTAAAAATGGAAAATGAAAAAATTTATACAATACAGAAACTAGAAAACCTTATACCAGTGACTCAAACAAGACAACTATTATGTGACAGGTATATGTTGTTATCTCCAGTTAAATATCAGTTGGCTATATTGATTAGTGAAAGAAGGGAAATCTTTTAACAGGAAATATAAATATATACAATGGAATATATATAGTTTGTGTTCAGATGTTTAGGTTCTTTGTGTCACTCTGCAAATTTAAGCTATTGTTGCGCTTAACAAAAATCATTTCAGATCTTTTTATTACATTCTTCTATATCTTACCATTTTTTAAAATCAGCTTTAGTTCTTACTTTCCTATTTCCCTCCTATTTTTTTCTTTAATTGTATCCTTCTTTAATTGATAAAGATTAACTGTATAACATAATATCAATTATAACTTCTTACTCGATAATATAATACAAATGTTATACAACAGTTATATTATGGGAAATTATAACATTGAACTAATGTTACTGTTAATGGATGATTACTGGAAGATATCTCTAAAACTTTTATAATTTATTATTTATTGTATGTGTGTGTTATTTAATTAAATGTATCAGTGTACATGTAAAATTCATATTTAGAAATGCTATCAAAAGTAAAAACAAGTTATTATTTATGCAGTAAATAATAGATTTAAAATCGATGATGAAATGTAACATCAAGAAACATTTACAGGAGATTCGTGTACACCTTCTGGAAACGATTCTTAGAGTACTTGCTCACAGTTCATCAAATGCTACAATGAGCATGGAAATCGACTTGTAAATTAGATTAATACCTTTTCACTTGATTCCATCTCATTTCAACTTGCATGTACTGAACGAACATAAATGTACACGAAACGGACCGGACGAGCGCTTAATTGGACTTTGCGTGACTTGTTCCAATTTCCACCGTTTACTCGTCGCCACGACGACGAGCATCCGAATCCCGTCTCCTGCTCGAATCGGTTACTCGGTGACGAACGATCGGTTGTTCATTCTTCGGAGCTGGCTAAAAATTAGCACATTGTCGAGCGAGAAGGGAATCTAGACAGGTACGTTCTATGTCGCCGAGGCGAAAATGTCGAGCGCGACGTACGACGAGCTCTGGCTAGAGGCGCAGACGTTGCTTACGGAGACGATTCAGATGGACACGGCGCTTCAGGGTGCGAAGCCCCAACGGGATCGTAGAAAGGCGCACGACCACGTCGCAGCATTGTACGTGAGATACGTGCTCGCGTGCAACAAACTCGAGCAATGCTACGATCAGGTGATACAGCCGCAGAAACGCCTGTTGATCAAGAAGTCGTTGAACGCGTGTCTCGGCAGGGTGCTAGAGCTGAAGCACGAGCTGGTGAACATCGATCTCGCCGAACACAATTATTATGACGACGTGCTGATCGAGCGCGGCGTCACGCCGCAGGAGGCCGAGATCCGCGTGCCCAGATACTTCAGACGCGAACGAATCGCGGAGATCGAGGAGAGACGTAGATTCGTGGAGGACACGTTGAGAAATCTCGGTGCACTTCAGGACACTGTCGTGCCAGAGAAGATCACCGAATCCCAAGCTATACGGCTTATCCAGGTGAGAGGACTGAATAACGCCTTGATCGTAAATCCTTGCGAGATCTGTATACGACAAATTACAATGATTCGGTAATTATTTAGTGAATTACCATATATATTTTCTTCTTAATTTCCACAAATTTATTCATTAAGGAATGACCGAGACAATCGATTATTAAGTAATAAAATAAGATTTAATATTTTATACCACCGATCCTTTTCTCAGACCTTTCTGTCCGATGCTTAATCTTTTTCAGTGCATTTTGCACACTTGCTGGATGATTTTAAAACATTTTGTGTTATCCAGGATTATAGACCTATGTGATTATGTCATGTTCACATCATACTCTTTAAATTCCCAACTTTAGGCCCACGAGCGAGCGAGACAGGGCAGACTTCGGTATCAGTTTATGAAGGAAATTCGTGAAATGAAGGAGAGATCAATTATTAAACCGGATACCGAAGAAGAAGATGAGGCGAGTGGAAAGCTCGCGGCATTGAAAATTCAGAAAGTATGGAGGGGATATATTACTAGGCGTTGGGTGCGCAAGAGACGACTCGAAGAAATGTTACTCATAGGTAACATGGAAATGAAATAAACTCTTTTAATAAAAATAAGCCGCCTTCTAAAGCTCAAAAGTTCAAAAAAGTATGAAATAATCTTGATTCAATATCTTCTTACATACTCCTACAATCTTATAATTCTAATATTCTAACAGTATTAGAAATCGGTGCAAATCTTGACTAATTAAGTTGATATAATCATAACTTTTTATTATTAATCCCCTTACAGTGACTAATCTAATTTATCTTTTTTTTTATTTTTGGCTTCTAATCGTTAGAAGATTAGAATAGAATTATAGAATTATGAATATTATTCTCCCTTTTATAATTGAACGCCTCTTATAGGTATGCTGCAGCCCAGTCAAGTGGTCACGGAAAATGCCAGGCAAGTAGAAAGATTGAAGCAGCAGAGGCATGAGAAACAATTAGACTTTCAGCGGCTATACGAAAGTCTGCTACTCGAGGCTAAGGAAAGAATTCGTAAGGAGAGAAGCGCCGTAATGGAGGAGAACATAAGAATCGAAATTCGAAATTGGATCGACACTTACTTTCAACAGACCGGAAAGATTCCCGATTTACCGTCCGCTGAGAGCGGCGGCTCGCGGATGATTTTCAGTAGGCAGGTGAATTTCGAGATTGATTTGAATATTTCAGTTTTAACATTTTGCCCAGCGCACTTTATTCCCACAATGTCGGTCTACTACTTTCCCGCAGGGAACTGAAAGTACTGTGAGCAAGTCCACGGCGGTGTCGTCGAAGGACTCGAAGAAATCGAAACGCTCGAAATCGAAGAAGGACAGCGAGACAGAGCAGTCGGAGGACGAGACGGATCTAGGATTCAAGTCGGTTCCCTCCAACTTCCTGCCGGAATTACTGCATGCAAATCAAGAGTATCAAGAGATCTGGAAGGACAAGGACGAGTCCGGGAATCGGGAGCAGCTGCCTTATCGCGATATGATAGAAGCGGATAAGACCAGGGAAGTCGAGGACGAGATCAGGGTGGGTGTGGATCAGACGATGAGAGGTAGGTAATAAATTATACACATTGTAACTATAGTTTCTCAAAAGGTAGAGTTGAAAAAGTCGGAACGACTCATACACGAAAAAGATACACGAGAGACTCAGATTCGATTCGACTAAAGCAGTATTTTTTACGAGACTTAAAATTAATAACATCACATAAAAGGAATCCAAAATAAAGCATAGTTAAGTTATGGAGTTTTAATTAATAATCATTATTTGAGACAAAAGTCAGTCTGATACGGAAGGTTGATTCACCGCGTACGCGTTTTGAAGTCCAAAAAAATATTTGGCGCGTACGTTAACATTGTTAGACATTTTACGGATTAAATATATATTCGCATCAATAACCGCAATTACTATCTTCCCAGCTTGTGTTAAAATGCATAAAAATTTATTTATGAAATATAAAAATTATTTCTGTGAGTAATCACAATAAAATTTAAACTTTATATCCTACAAATAACAATTTGTTTAGTTTTTTTTTTCTGAATGTATATATAAACAGGTAGAGTGGATTAGTCTTCCTTGTCGCGCTATACGATGATGGATTCGATTGTCAATAAATATTCGTATCGCGAAGAACTCTCCGGGTAAAACAATTCCTTTCATTTCCCGATTCGATTCCGATTTTTTCAATAGCCGTGCAACCGTGGTAACGCGATTTAATTCGGCATATCAGACAGCATAAACTTCTAAAAGATGTCTTAGAGACGTCCAATAGACATTCTATTTTATTTAGACATCTCTTAGAAGTTTGTGCTGTTTGTGTAATTCAAAATTGATTTTATAACTTATACAATGTATTTTCGTTCCATAACGTGAATACTAAAGGATTTGTTTCCCCGAATTAATTAATTGTGTAATTAGGCGATATAGAGGCTCTTCAAGCAGCGTTGGACAGGGACAAAGGCTTTAAGGGGAAACGTGCGAAGAAACTTCAAAAACGAGTACGTAGGAGCGGTAAGAAAAACAAAAGAAAAAAGGAGAAGGATTTGACGCCCGACAGAACGACCGAATCCCTCTTCGAGGAGCTCCTCACTCAGGGAATTATTAAGCTCCATCGGGAAGTCTCGCTCGATGAATTCAAGGGTGAAAAATCGTTCGCGAACTACGACCTTCACGAAAAGACAAAGGATCCTCTGCCTACTCTTGGTACATTCGAATCCTTCGTTTTTCACTTCATTTTGTTAATCCGAACTCGATATCTGTTCTCATATGTTACAAATTCTTACATCCATATTTATCTCGAAACAAGAAATTTCATTGATTCGATTTTCGCTTAATTTGATTTTTCTGCTTTCACGATATGTCTGTAAATTAATCGAATCTAAAAGTCATAATCAGTCGGATTGTGTGCCAGGTGACGTGAGGCAACTCATCACTGAATACTGCATACTTCCGTTGGGCGATCATGTCTTGAGAGAACTCACACCTCTCGTAAGGTCGGTCTTGATAGCTGGCCCGCATGGTAGTGGTAAGAAATTTCTGGTGAACGCGATTTGTACGGAGCTCGGCGCTACGCTTTTCGACATTACACCGGCGAATATCGCCGGCAAGTATCCGGGCAAATCAGGATTGATTATGCTCGTCCATCTAATCTCAAAGGTTTGTAATTTCTGAAAGCCGGGACTCGAAGGTTTGTAGTTGGGAATGGCCGATCGATTGCATCGAATAACCGAGTATAAGAATGTTAAGATTTTTAATTAATTAAATTTATCAAGCTGCATGAAGAAAATATAATAGGTAATAAAAGTTATAAGAAAATTCTTGGATAATATAAGAATTATGATCGAAATTGCCATATATTTGCTTAAAAATATGCTATATATATACTTAAAAATCTTATGCTGGTTGGATATTTTACTTTGCAAAATTATTGCAGTTGAATATTTTTTATATCGAATATTCGGCAGATCAAATTTATTATTTTAAAACAGTAATTTGTACTACAATTTTAGTATAGTCTATATTTACTGAACATACTAAAAGGAAGTACAATTTAACGTAATTTCTACTGCAATATTTTCTTTGTATATTACTACCATATTTATTAGCCAAACGTGAGCTACACTCAAGTAACCTTTTTTGCACAAATCACGTATAGAATTGCAAGAACCTTTCAACTTGCCGAAGGTATCGCGATTGCTGCAGCCGTCAGTGATCTTTATGGACGATGCGGAGAAGCCGTTCGTAAAGAAAATACCGAAAACCGATAAGACTGATCCGAAACGCTTGAAGAAGGATCTACCAAAGTTAGTGAAGAGCATCACGGGCGAAGATAAAGTTTTGCTTATTGGAACATCCAACAAACCTTGGGATGGCGATCAGAAACTCTTGTTTCAAACTTACGATAAAGTTGTGTACATTCCTAGGCCAGATTACGGCACTGTGTCCCTCATTTGGAAGGATTTGTTATACAAAGTGAGTAAACGGCAAACCGAGAGCGTGTCCAGTGTTGGGCATAAATCGATTAAAATATTAATTGACAAATAATCGACAAATTAATAATTAAAATTAATCAAGTTAACTAAACTTTGGTCTTATAAATTATAAACTAATAACTATAATTAACTAATTGATAATTAATTGATCTAGTTAAAGAAAGTTTTAATCAATTAATGCTCAACACTAAGCATATTCAATTACACGATTGGTTCTTCTGAATGATATTGCACTGAGAAAAAATATTTGCAAATTTATTTCTGCAAAATATAAAGTTTACTTCTGTGAATAAACTTCCACACAAGTAAATTTATAAATATTTTTGTTTTCAGTGTGATTAAGAATAAGCAGAATTAATGCTCCAAAAGTCAATCCTCAGGGACACGTTTGATATTATTACGTTGACATTTACAATCTACTTGTCGTAACTGTTGACTCTTGTTCTAGTATTCGGGTATTAATCGACAATTCGATACACCGGCCATGGCGAAAGCATGTGACGGTTTCACAATTGGCACTGTCTTAGAGGCGATCAATGAGGTATCGGAATTGGGAATCACTATTGATATTATCACTGCTAACTTATAATTTTCAGCTCAAACATTAACTCGCAAATTAATTCACGCACGACACAGGTAATGACTACAAAGCGTATGGTGCAATTACGAACTCATCCTTTGACGCACGTCGAGCTGGTGAACGCGTTAAGTTTCAGAGATCCGGTATATCGCGAGGAAGAGGATGCGTTTTTAGGTGCGCAACAGTTACGTACTCTAGTACGTTGAATATTGCGAATATTTCGGTGACATGTCATCCGATTTAACGTTACAGCTTGGTTCTTAAAAACACCGACCTGCCGACGGAAACATAAGACTCTCGAACTAGAACTCGAAAAATTGAACGAAGCAAACGAAACGCAAAAGAAGAAGAAAGGAACGGGGTAAGGGACAGATTCGTTGACAGATGAACGAACCCGTCGTGCTTTGTATATCAGGGTGAGTAGAAAATGTCTTGATACAAACAAACTCGTAAAAGTTATTTTGATATAAAAACCAAGTTACTAAAAAATAGCTTGGGTAGATAATTTTACGACGGGCATAAATCATAGATTGAAGTGAAAAATAAAATTACAGTAAAAACACATGATTACAATAAGAAAAACTATCTCTTCTACGTAAAACGTAGAGACGGACGTAACGAAAAAGTAACAGAACACGAAACACAATGTGAATACACACGTAAAGAATGTACACGAAGAAAATATAGCTAAAACTACATTAAGATTCTCCTACTTCTAGGCCATATTAGTTTGATGATGTCAAAAGCGAGAAATGATAACGAAAATTAGTTGCGTTTTATTGCTTTATTTTTTTACTTTTTCCTGAAGACCCAATAATTTGGCTAATCCTGAAACCTGTAAAAAGTATAGCAAACTCAGATATCTGACTGATACATCACGTAGCATCGTAAAATAATTCCTGAAATAATGCTATATTTTTCGGCTGTCACGGTGGTTTATGACAACTGAGATCAGCATGTATAAATACATTTAATTTCTTGATTTTCACAATGTATCACCAGTATCACTGAGTTTGCTGCACATTTTACAGCTGTGAGGATCACGATAATATACGCACTTCATGGAGAAACTGCAAAATAATGCGATAAAACGCAACTAATTTTCCGAGGTGTCAAGCGAGACCTAGTGTGAGTCTATCTTATTGTTAGCCAATCAGCTACGCTGACACAGCTATTTCGTGTTCTCGACACTACTAGGCGCCATCGTCAATTCAGACTTTCTGCGGCGAGATAGCAGAGCCTTAAAATTATATTTTTTTTACATTGTTTTCTGTAAAGCTGAACCGTACTTAAATTGTAACATAAATTACTATAAAAAAGAGTAAATTCGACGATCTACTTAGTACACGATATAAAAAAAACATTTAAATGATTACAATAATCTTGTAGTAAAAAATCAATCATGGATGAACTTTTGGACAAATATATAGCTCATACAGCATCAAATGTTTGAAATACATCCCAGAGACGTTCCAGAGACAATGTGATATCTCTGGGATGTTTCGGACATTTGTGCTGTATGGGTAGTGATATCGGTCATAATACTACGCGGATAACCAAGATACCTAAAATTTTGTTATAATTCTTACGATATTTACGAGTAGCAAATAGAAGTAGCAATAGAAATAATCTATAATCGTTATCATTGGCCAAAAAAGAGTAAAATTGCATTGTTATCGTTACTAACAGAAAACCCAGATAGCACGATGAATTCTTTAAGTGTTCCTAAAGTTTTCTCCTTTCCTGAATTGTATTTCCTTAAGAAGAATACTATAAGAATGATTTGGGAAGTTACATGCACCGTGATTGGAGTTCAGAACTTCTTAGAATTCATATAGAATTCATATAGAATTATTTCAATTCAAAAAGATTTCTCCGGATTTAATAAATTTTATTGCATCCACACGAAAGAAAAATCAGAAAACTTTGGCCGGGTGTGTGCTTGTGTGTATCTATAGATGTCCACTTTTAATGCCATATGAGATCATCAGACTCATTAAAATATCAGACTCGGCTGGGATCGAACTCTGGTCTTCATGTCAGATAACCGGTTTTCCCACTGAATTATTTAAGACTTCATGTTTGTGACATCTATATATCTAGTGAAAAATAATTCGTTGACATCAAAATGATATCAAATTGACGTCGGTTTGATGATTCAACGTCTATTTGATATCATTTTGATGTCAATCAATGAATCATTTTTCGCTGGATATATATTGTTCTAACTGAGGGCTATCGCACACAAATTGACATAACTGCATATGCATAGCATAAGACCGTATGTACCAATGAGCATCAAGTATTAAGTCGCCATATTGGTGTTCGATGCTTAATATTCGATGCTCATTGATCCATACGATCTTATGCTATGCATATGTCAATTTGTGTGCGATAGCCCTGAGCTTCAAATGTAAGTAAAGTGCACTTTCAAATATGTAATTCAAAATCCAAGAAGTGGCTTTCAAATAGTGCGATTGAGTTTGTTAGAATTGTATATGGATTTTAGAAATATGAATACAAACTTAAAATATACTTTGCATAAATCTATTTATTATTGATACAAGTGAACCTTTTATATATAAAAAGCTATTTTAACACCAATTCCCTTTCTTTGCCTTATTATATAAAACTATATAATTAATTCCACAAAATATAAATAACTGTGAATAACAATAAATTAAACAATTTATATGTAAATATGTAAATCAATTATTATACACTCACTGATACTGAATATAGGCGCAAACAATAATTGTTATAAACAAAACATTTGTAAGGGTTAAGACAGAGAACGAGACATAAACGTCGTAGACGTAAAATAAGAGTGTCCGCACAAGAACATCCATAATATGTTAAGTTTACGGATTTCTTTGTGCGTTGACTTACGTTTAAATTTACATACAGATATGGCCATTGTATTGTCAGTACTTAACGTAACCTAATATCTTATGCTTGTGCGTTGACTCTTAGGCAAAGAAAACGTAAGTCATAAAAAGCTATTATATCATAATAGCTATTATATCATAATAACTATTATATCATAATAGCTATTATATCATAATAGCTGTTATGATATAATAGCTTAGAATATTCATATAGAATTATTTTAACTCAAAAAGATTTCTTCGGATTTAATAAATTTTATTGCATCCATACGAAAGAAAGATCAGAAAACTTTGGCCGGGTGTGTGCTTGTGTGTATCTGTAGATGTCCACTTTTAATGCCATCAGAGATCATAATCTCATTATGAGATCATCAGACTTATCAAAATTTCAGACTCGGCTAAGATCGAACTCTTCCTGTTTGCCAGATAACCGGTTTTTCAGAACTATTTATATGATATATCATATCAATTTTTTCTCTGCCTTTACGTCTACGATTACGACGCTTACGTCTCGTTCTCTGTCTTAGTCCTAATTCCTCACAAATTCTCAAAGTGTTCTAGGAATTAAGTCGCGAAGTAGTATTCGCTATAATGAAGTCCTAAGGAATATTTCAAGACGAACTTATTGTGGTTAATTCTTCAAGAATTCTTTGGGTATTCATTTTTCTAGTATCTATTCTTTAAAATGAATTTTCTAGAAACTTTTGTTCATCTCTGTGCTATCCGGGAATAATAATAACATCATTATCAAATTGTTACTGAAAAGTCGTAATTTGCAATGATAACGGTGTCATAAATAAATAATGTAAATAACACGTTATTTTCCGTCTTTACATTATTCTATGCATTTGTCTTTCTATGCAGTTTGTCTTTCTTGTGGTCGTTCGTTTTTGTAGGCAGCTTTGTGATGATACATCTCATGTATATATATATATTTTTCAAAGACATTCTTTTTGTGTTAGAAATTACCATGCAAAAAAAGTCATTTAGAAGTGTAGTTATTATTCATCGTTTTTCTCAGATGGAATCAAGTGATCTTTATTCCCCTTTTCTCTCTTCTCTCGCTTTCCACTCGCGAAGCATTTTGCACGCGCTAAGCGCAAAATCTGTACGATTTCGTTCTTGTAATCGTTTTCACGTGATACATAGCGTGATTATGTATGAAGCCACGTATGAGAAAGCGTAATGATCGGCGAATAATCAATCGATTATCTCGGTGACGTGTATCATCGCGCGCGAGACTGTTCCCGGCCAGTGTTCCCTGAGCCGATATCAATGTCGGTTTTGATTAGCGCAACTGCAATTTGCATCGTCGTCACTCACAAAGCCGCGTTTACGGGGTGAAAAACAGGATGCCCCTCTGCTCTCAGCTTCGCACGAATATCACAAAAGTCTCGTTAAGCTCAACCATCACCCACGTCTCCTGCACTTTCTTCGACGGCCGCGTTCACTTATATACATAGGCGAATATGTGTGTGTGGGTGTATCAATCTTTTTTATATGGATTATATCAATTTATTCTTCTCATACTTTCATGACGTTTCAAATGGCATTGTAAAATTGCCCCTGCTTTTTTCCGCGGAAATCAATGCGATTTACATTTAAACATACGTTATATAATACGACGTTTTATAAAAGCTCAAGCCCAGTAAACACCAACTATCAGTAACGTAAAATCAGTATACAAGGTCTGTTTTTTTAGCCGAACTGCCTGAACTGGTGCAAACTGATGCAATAAGTTAGAACGAAACAAAATATATTTATTTCACTTTGACTTTTATTTTTTATTGCACCAGTTTAGATAGTTTCAGCTATAAAGAACAGACCTTACTCTTAGACCTTAGATAGATAGTTTCCCGTTTAAAAATGTAAACGCAATATAACGCGTGTGTTATGTAACAGTTATATTGTTGAGTGGGAAATTATAATATTGATGTGATGTTACTGTTAGTGTTTACTGGGAATTGTACAGTCACCATTCCACATCGACGTCCAGCGATGTCCAGTTGCATGGATGCAATCTTAACTACGGTGTTCTGCATCCAACCAGCTTCTTCAGCATCCAGCCGTCGTCCCACGTGGATCATTCTTCGTTTACTTCAGCATTCACGATTGTGATCATTTTAAAGACAAGTGATTAATGATGAAAAGTATGTAAATAAATTTTTATAAGCCACGAATTTCGAATTACATATGTTTAATAAATCATGAAACGAAGATCTTGTATTTGCAAGTTCGAGAAAATAAAATGAAATATATTGTTTCACGGACGATTTCGACATCGTCAGAAAAATTGCTTTTGCCTATCACCGCATATTTAATGATTAAATATACATATCAAATTTAGTCATAAATTTGACTTGTAAAATGACATTATTATCCGTCGCATCTGAAAAATTTGCGAAAATGATGATCATGAATCATCGCAAAATCCATCGCGAACAAAGTAAGTAATCGCGATCTTCGCGTGTGGTAACTTTAATGTGCATGTTACACTGCTTGAGGCAACTAGTCACATTAAATGAACAGTCCTATTGAGTAATCTCGAGTCAAATATGATAATAAAAGTTATCACAAATTTTTCGCGAAAGAGAAATTATTTGTCAATCGATTGCACTTCATGATCGCATCAGGATTGTAATTTGCTATAATTTTAACTATATAAAATATAGCGTAGTTGCATTAATAATGCATATATCAGTAATGTTTGACATACCACAACTTATTTTCTATGTATTTTATCGTGCTATTCTCTAAGATAGTTCCACATAAATAATACAGCCTGCACGTATTACCGTGATAAATTTAATGGAAATTTAATGAAAATTTAATGGAAATTTAGTGAAAATTTAATGACACAGTAAACTACGAACTCAATGTCAAGAAAGCTGATTTTAAAAGATTTTTCGTAAAAACCGCGAGACATCCAGTATAGCTAAACGTATGATGCGAATGTATAGCTTATCACTTTCGATATTTATGCAATACGGACCTTTGCGATGATAAGCAATGAAAGGCTTACACATTCTAAATTTAATGCCTAGCGATACCGTCTCATATCTTTTTTTTCTACGACTTGTTACATAAATTCCATATTTTAAGAGAGATTTACATCTCGTCAACATAATATAATCGTCTCTATGTATCTTTACGCAAATTATAAAAACAACATATATTTTAAAAACATATATTTTAAATAAAACTAAAGAAAACAAGATTGGGAAGGAAAGCGTTAAAGCATAAAGAAAAACTGGAAAATTGAGAAAGGTAGGAAATGAGCGCAGAGATGTTGCAAGAAAGTAAATAGAAAGAAAAAGGGAAAAAGCTCGGAATGAAAAGAGGAAAAGAGATTTTATGAAACAAGAAGAGTATCAATGATAGAGAGAAGTATGAGAATGAGGAGAAAAAGAGCAGAAAGTATTAGAGGGCAATTAGAAGAAAGAGATAGAGAAGAGCAAGAACAGAAGAAGTATGAAAGAATAAGAAGATCGAGATGTAACGCATAGTAGTATACAGAAATAAGAATAAGTTAGGATTACTAAAGTACCTGAAAAAGAGAATGAAAGAACGGAAGAAGGATGGAATGGTGAGATTTAGATTGAGCAGTGGAATTAAGGATATTGGAAAGATATTGGAAACAAGAAGAAAAAGAAGATGTAGGATATGTTGGTGGGAAGAGGAATTATAGGAGGATATTTCGAAAAGATACGTAGATTGGGAAAAGTAGAGTTGGAAAGGGAGAGCGTGAGGAAGATTTTGGACGAGAATAGAAATAAAGAGTTAGAGAGAATGAGAATAAAAGAAGGGAAAGAGAGGAAGAGAGTGAAATGAAATTGTAAAGTAATGGAAAGTTGCTGATCCAAAAAAAGCAAATAAAGACTATATCTATTTTAGGATTGACTTTTTTTTGTACTAACAAAATGTGGAAATACTAATGGTTTTCGAACTATAAATAACAAAAACTGCTTAGTATAACTTTACAAGATTGGACAGTAAAACAATTTAAAATTTTATATAAACTGTAACATTTATGATGTGAAGATTATTCATTAAAATGTTTAATGTTTATATAGAGAATCAATAATTGTATATCTAAATTAAAATACAAAAATATGTAGTCAATATTTGCATCGTGAAATAAATTAAAATACCAAATATATATGACTTAAATATGATAGTCTCGTGTAGGATACTCATATTTTCACTTAGAATTAAATTAAAATTTTCTATTAAATTATGATTTATGTATTTATATCAGAGGATAAATTATAAATTTTTTTTTTAATGTGTATTCGTGAAAAATTTAATCTTAGAAATAGGAATGATAATTTTTTATACAAATTTATATTGGAATTAAAAATGAGTTAAAAGATTCATGGTTGCCTCCAAGTATTACAAAATTATGCGATATTTTTCAAGAATATATAAGAACGGCCCTTGAGGTGCTTGAAACCTTATTCTTAAAAAATATCGTATAAAAAATATCGTATTTCTATGAAAAGCTACGTAATTCATGTTACGTAATTACAGCCTTTCATCGAAATATCGTATGCGATATTTTTCAAAAATACGGTCCTAGGGGTCAGCTATTAGTACAGGGTCATATAGTATACGATAAATACAATATCACAAGAGCATCGTCGTTCGACGAGTCACCGTTGCATGGCGAAGTGCGGCGCGGCGCTATGAGATGAGGTGAGGCGATATATCGATCCGCTTCACGTGTTCCAGGCCGGTGCATCGAGCCACACCACACCACGCCACGCGACACCACGCTATACCACGCCACACCTCCCCCTAGCCGGCAAATGTCATCATCCCCTCAATAACGTCGTCGATGTGAATTGCGTAAAAAGGAAGAGTGAAAGAGAGAGAAAGAAGCGGACAGTCCGCAACGTAGCATGTGACGGACGCATGTCAGCGAGCACCTCTTGGTCACGAGACCTGTCACGGCTAGGAACTAGAACTATAAAACTTCTAACACTATAAAACAGACGGCGGGGTCAACACGCGAACACGATCCTCCCGCTCGTGTCGCAGCATCCACGTTCCGAGACATCTCTCGTCGTCGTCTCGTAAACGCGCGCGCGCGCGCTTGACAGCAGTGGCGCGCCTGCGCACGCCGAATCCGCCTTCCCATTGGTCCCCGCCACATGGTCTGATGTCAGACCACGGGACCTGTCCAATTCAATAATAAGGAGAATGCCCACGAGCCGGGCTAGACATCAGCCAGTCCTCCGTTTGTTCGCTCGTGAGGTACGTGAGAACGGTTGCCTTCGCAACGAGGGAGACCCACTCGCGTCGTGAGGCGAACGGAGTCATTTCATTCTGCGCGACTACACGACACGTCGATACACCCCGGCGAGGAAACGCAGCCGACCATCGCGGTCACATTCAAAAGGTCGACGGAAACGCGCCACCGATAGAGAGACGATTCCCTGCGACGCCGTTTCTCGCTACGCGAATCACTGTTGGGATTATATCTGTACGCGTGAGGGTAATTCAGGTAAGTTCCGGCGATCGATATCGGCGTAATCGCCGAGCACTTCTCCCGGAGGATTTAACGAACTGCACTACCCGATTACCGCGATTCTTGCGACAGTTGCCGCGTGGTTTCATTGTAAAGTCCTTAGAGTAGATTAGAGATCAGAGGCCTGATCTGTTTAGCTGAACAGCGTTGAAGTTTGTTATTTTTTTCTTGAATGCTAGGTTACATGCGTGTTTTCGCCTAGAACTTAGATCTGACCTCCACCAGTTTTACTGATGAAAATGTCTCTAAGTGTACTTGAGAATCAATTAGCAGGCTCATAAGCTATATTTAGAGGCATTTCTATCAATAAAAAGTTCAGAATAAAGACCCATATTCCTTAACGAGGTAGACTTTAAGAAAGTCTGTTCCTACATTACTGGAGACCTTTCAGTAAAATTGACAGAAGAATTTATACAGAAAGAAAACTACAATATACAGACTCTTCCTGTGTAGAATTCTCGACTAATTTCGACCTTGGTTCGCTTCGTCCCGATTCACCAAAATCTAATCTTCTTCAGTGTTTAATCTTCAATATTTAGTCGGGCTGAAGATACGGAATCGCCATCGAATATGTCCCACGATGTTTTTTCAGATATCACCGACTCGCCGGGCGCCAATACTTGTAAAAATTATGCGTCACGCGAGCCACGCGTCGCGAACATCCACATCACGATCGACTACCTCTCTCTTTATGTACGTGGAAAAATATCGGACACGCGTTTGATGGCATCGCCCAAGTTCTCTCGGGAAATTGCCGACCGGCATCGACCGGAACGTCCGCGCCGGAAATCGTCAGCGAAGTGTATCCGGGCTCTCGCGTAAAGATCCACGGCACGGCGTTGTAAATTCCCGGTTCTTCTTTCGAGCTTCGTGAGAACAATTGTAAATTTGCACACTGCAGAAATGACGTAATCCACGAGCGTAATGTCAATATCGTAAAAATTATTTCAACATAAAAACCATGTTACTAAAAAATTTCGCGAACAATTTTGCTATGACCATAAGTCACACAAATAGATTAATGCGAAGAAGAGAATTGTGACATACGGAGGCAAAAAAACTACTGCCTCTTCTGCTCGTGGAAATAAACGCAACAAAATCTGTAAGGTAAACAGAATGCACGAAATATACAAGGAGAGAATATTGTAGCAAAAATTACGTTAAGATTATATTTCTTTTTGTTTTCTATACAGATGGCATAAATAAAAATAGCAAATTTAACGACCTATTGAATATACTATATAAAAAGAATTCTGTTGCGATAATTTTGCAGAAAAAGTCCAACAGGCGTAGAAATTTTCGAACAAACATATAGCAATTTCGGTCATAATTCTGTATGATCCAGGATTACAGAAATTTTGCTGTAATTTTTACTACAATATTTTTTCCATGTAGACGCGAGAAAAGTTGCGAAAGTATTGTTCCCTCTGATTATTTCCGGTCATGCACGCTATCATGTAACGTGAGCCGCTGTGGTCGAGCACAAGGGAGAAGCGGGATGAAATAAGAAAAAAAAACTCGGTTTTTTCTTGCTCGGTTTTACGTGTTCGCAATGTGTCTCGCGCCGACGAGAAGCGTCACTTTGTCATTGTTGAAAGAGGGCACCAGGACATTGCTTTCGTTTCTCTAACTCTCTTTATACCGCGGGTCTCTCAATGAAGCCACAATAGAGATAACGCTTCTGTCAACATTTCTGCGTATACATACGAGATCCTCCGCACAAACAGAGAGAGCATGGGTTTTTTTTTTTTCATAGAAATCCTCTTGTCAATGTTACTGTTTATCTAGTGATACAAAAGTGGACTGGCATAGTAACCCATACAGCATAGAAATTTCAAAAAGCCTTGTAGAAATATTCCACCTTTCTGAGATCTTTCTGAAATCTTTTTCAAACTTTTGTGCTGTGTGAGAAATTCTCTATCTAAGGAATATTCCAGTAAACATCGAATAAGTAACATTGTATCAAAGTTATAATTTCTCATATGTAATGCAAATGCAATATAACACATGTTATACACAACAGTTACGTTGTTGTGTAAGAAGTTACAACATTGATACGATGTTACTGTCGGTGGTTACCGAATTTGTAAATTTCGTCAAAGACTTCACAAATGCTTTAATAACACATTTCAACTCCTAAATTAAAAATAAATAATATGAAATGATAATAATAAATTGATGACATAATAAATTAATGCAGAATGTCGATCGCATTGTTCAGTTACAAAATTCTGTAATGCTTACTATAAAACTTTTTCCGTGTACACTGAGCTTCGATAAAGTATATTCTTAACGTCTACCAAAATTTGCTAGTTTTTTTAACCGTTGCAAGATAAAAATTACGCATGTGGGCACATTACGACTTAATAATTTAATCTACCATTTTGACAGCTTGATTCATATCTTATAAGAGAAATCAGGGCTATTTGGCTACCGGGGTAAGTTGGCAAAACCATTTATTTCAAGTATTTTTTAACAAGTTACAAAAGCAAGCAAGATTTTTAGATATTTTAAACGTGTCAAAGATGGCTTTGAAATCCTTGCTTGCTTGATTCTGATATTTGTTAAAGAATGTAATACAACAATAGAAATAATTGATTTTGCCAATCGTGTACGCTGATATGACGGATTAGATCATAGAAAGAAGTCGTTAACAATGAAAAGACGATTCGATTAAAGAGACAAGTGAAATGTGGGCTGATGCAAATATTAAGATTTTTCAAAGCTTAATATATCTATGATTTTTAATTACGTGGCCAAAAGCGACGTAATAACGTAACGATTTTATAGGCAATTCCGGCGAATTATAAGACTCAAGTTTTACCTCAAATACAGACACGCAAAGGCAAACAGTGTTCAATTGATTCATTATTTTTCTTTGTCGTAAAAATATATTGCAATTTTATGATTCTCACTTTGCCAACTTGTTAGGCATTTTAACTAGAGGAGAATAAAAATAAAGAAATTTCAGTGATACAATTGTCGGTTAGTATAAATTATCTTGCTTGTGAAATGAGATGGTCACGTTGAGCACTTTATAGTTATCTATAGTGTTTAAATATAGACTTTTTCAAGACGTTTTGTGAGTAATCAATAATGTGTTATGCGCAGCATTTTGTTTAATTTATAGAGGAAGACTTTGTAAGTTTGTTTAGCATTTATATCTTTATTCTAATTGCATACAGAGTTGATACAAAGAATATTAAGCTCGCACTCGTAACTCGTAAAATATTTTAGCTATAAATATGCTAACTCGTAAGGTATCTGATAAGTTTGTACTATGTTGCATTGCCGACCATCTACGGGTTCCTTACTTAACTGTGTGAGAGAATTGAGCATTTCTTAGTAAAAATTCAATTTAAGTGCTATTTTCTTCCCAATTTTTTACGATCGACTTTATTTTACGGGCAAGGAATTTATTTAAAATATTTTCGTAATGAAAATTTAGAACGACAAGGTCTTCAATTGATATCTCCTTAACTTATTAAATCGACTTGAAATCAGAAAGGAGATATATAAAGTTTTGTTATTTACATGATTGAGACATGACTCGCGAAAACATGTGATTTCTGGATAGATCAGAATACAAGGGCCATTCGCGTGTCGACTTTATGATCGAGAGGCAATTCAAGCGAAGAAATACGCACGTGAGACGAAATAGCGGCGACATTTCGTGCAAGTTCCGACCAATTTGACTTAAAACTGAAATCATAATTTTCGTAAAACCATTGAATCCATTTTTTCTTCAATAGTACACTGGAGGTCAGATATGCATAGCCATTCTCTGATAGGCTTGGACGTTTTGACAGTTTGAGGTCCCGTTTGCACTAGTAAGGAGGATTTTTCCTACATATTAAACGATAGAAAAGTGATCGAACATTATTTCTTGCAAGCTGGCCGCTTACAAGATACAAAACGGTCGGCTTATATTATAAATTGTACTGTATCACTTTTTTCTATTGATTATACATAAACAAATAATCCTGCTTACTGATGCGAACGAGTTGTCACGGTCATTTAGATACATTGTCGCTCATCTCTTTGAAATTTCCTCCCTAGGATGGAAATGAAGAACTCCGATCAGTTGATTCCCTTATGTGTTATGCATTTTGTGTTATTCAAAAATCTGTGTTCGGGCCCTAAGCATAGGAAAGATAGGCAGTCTACACAAATTTGCATAAATTTTGGCCAATCAGAAAGCAAGAACAATAATTGCTACTTGAGAACATATTCTTAATCTAAACATTACTAACATATGCCAAATTTGTGTGCTACAAAAACTCGCGACGCGGCTGTTCCCAGCACATTAAATATTTCATAAAAAAGGAACTTGTCAAAATGAATATGTCATAATTACATTTACATCGCGACAATATCAATACAATCAATATCAAAGACAATATCACAAGTTATGTACTTTTGTGCACGGTTTCAGCAGATTTTGACAGAATACTCACTTGCGTGCTATTTTTTCTATGATGGCGTTCCGAAATTTATTGCCAGTACTGAAATTCTACAGTATATGTAATAGAAATTACAGATTTTCAGCAGTAACAAATTTGAATTTTAGAACGCAAATATAATACGGTTATCATGTCTAGTTTATCATGATTGTTATCATGCTAGGAATTTGCGTTTGACGTTTGATTGATTGCGCATAGATTATAGAACATAAATATATCTAGTTTTAAGACCTCTTCGAGAACATTCATATTTATTATCACGTTATGTCACATATTACTTAAAAATAAACTTATGTCAACGCATAAAGAAATCTGTCATAAATCTTTTTCTATGAATTTGTTTTTATGTTAACATAATGTATTAACATAATGTATTCATACATCTTGTGCGGAGGTTCTTATCAATTTTTTTATTTCTTTCGTACATTTATAGTCGGAAAGATTTATCTGGTTGTTTTTTTTTTTTTTTTAAACTTATCTGTTTTATTTATACATCTATGCTATGCATATGCA